TCACGTGGTGACAGAAAAGCCCCCTTTGAGCCCAAAATGGCCGATGCGGCGCTTCTCCTCCGGGTCAAGCTGCTCCGGTGCTCGTCGCCTCGCGGACAGCAGGGGGCGCGTCATTTGTAGGTCAACTCTTTTTTTTTTACTACTGTTATGAATATGTAAGAAACAATGCCAAGAGAAATACACTCACAATATGCGATTAACACAGTGCAAAGTATAATTAGTTACCAAAATGAATCAAATTGATTTATTCATGGGTGATACGGTGGCACAGTGAATAGCACCATCGCCTCACAGCAAGAAGGTCGCTGGTTCGAGCCTTGGTTGGGTCAAATGGCATTTCTGTGTGGAGTTTGCACGTTCTCCCAGTGTTTGCGTTGTTTAGGCTAAATTGTCCGTAGTGTATGTGTGTGAATGAGTGTGTATGGATGTTTTCCAATGATGGGTTGCAGCTGGAAGGGCATCCGCTGTGTAAAACATATGCTGGATAAGTTGGCGGTTCATTCCACTGTGGCAACTTCGGCTTAATAAAGGGACCGAAAAGAAAATGAATGAATGAATGAATGATTTATTCATTGATTTATTAATTTATATAAATCCCATATACAATTTCCAGTAGTATCTGGATGCAGACTTGCACACGCAGTCTCAGCCATCCAGTCTCAGACATATGCACTTCATTTTAAAATACTAAATACAATTTACCCAGTACAATCTTTATATAGTATATTAAAATGTAGGACATCTGTAGTTTTTTCAATCCAGATAAAGAGAACCTTTGTCTTTTATTTATTTAATGCAACATTGTATGTTAAACAGTTGCTGGAAGGATCTAGCCAAATATATTTTTAAAATGGCAAAACTTAGTTATTATTTTACATTAAAAGATATTATTTTTTATTATGAAAACATATCCAACAAAAGTCTTGAATATATAATCTTGCCATTTTGTTGGCCAAATTTTACATACACAAACAGAAATTTGCTAAATCATCTCCCCCATGAACAGTTTTTTATATCTATTTAGTTTCTTTATTTCTACTGCGAAATTGTTGAAAAGCAAAAAATCTAAGAAATGTATAAATTATTATAAGTTTTTTTATTCCCCTGTTAATTCTTAAAATCATTGGATGTAGAAATGCTTTACATTTTATGTGTATTTAATTTTTTTTTTTTTGTTTATTTTTTACCATTGCTATATTAGCTTTTTTATGTTCGCCTTTTATTTTATGTTGTGTTGTATGTATGTTTGTGATGGTTTGTGCAATAAAAAAATGCACTCAATTGAGCCAGTGACCTCACTGTAAGGGGTAGGGTTAGGGGTTGGGTTGGGTTGGGTATATGCATTAAAAGCATTGCATGCAGTCTCAGCTTGCATCTGCACCCATCTGCAGCCAGACCCTTCAAATATAATACACCTTTACATGTAATGGGATGTGAATACAACAGATAACGTGAGTTGCATTGTTTTAATTAACTTTTAATTTGATATTTAGTAGGTTCTCCTTTAATGGCAATTACAGCAGCACACCATTCAAGCATATTATCAATTTACATAATTCAAGAGAAGTTGAGAACATCAATGTTATCCTATGCTTTAACAGAGTTAAACTGCAACTACAGTAAAATGATTACTGTTAAATAAATTAGTAAATTTCCCCTTTATGTACTGTGCAGTTACTATGTATCTTATATAAGCAGTTTTCAAAAATTTCACTTCTTTTTTTTTTATTGTGTTTTTTGGAGCTTATTTTTTGCTGACTGAATATGCTGAGCTACAGTTTGTCAGGTTGTAGAATGTTTGAGAAGTGACATGCTGTAGTCTCTTGATTGTTAGTGTTTGTTGGTGTATTGTGAATTTGCCTTTAAAAGCTCATAATCACATCACAGTTGCTTTTCTTGCGGAACATCAAAAATTATTCAAACCAGAGCAATTACTTATCATCAATTTATCGATTCTCCCTAACTCTTTTCATGCAGTCTTTTTAAAACAAAAATCATTTTCATTTTATTATTTAATTAATTCAGCTTCTAACCCTTTTGTTTTTTTTTTATCTCAGTTTTGCAAACTCTGGTGTATTGTAGTGTTTCATGTATTTGCTTTTATTGATAACAAACAAACAAGTACATTTCTCACATTTTCATTCCATGTATCAGTTGCAAACAAGTTCAAATCAAGGTAAAAAAAAAAAAAGTCAATTCAAAAGTGATCAGAAAATAATACCTAAAATAGGTCATCTAGACTTTTTAAATCTAGATCTATTCATTTGTTATTAAAATGTCATGTTTACCATTCCTGAGTCAGGTGTAAGTCCTTTAACAAGGTTTGTTATGGAAACATTCAAACCACCTGGGCTTTATTAATGTATTTTTGTAATACATACATATACTTTTCTATATTATATTTCTGTAACATCATTTACATAAACAATTATGTGTATATGGGCAACACGCTGGCTCAGTGGTTAGCACTGTTTGTGTGTTCTCCCTGTGTTAGCATGTGCTTCCTCTGGGTGCTCTTGTTTCACTCACAGTCCAAAGACATGTGCTATAGGTGAATTGAATAAACTAAATTGGTCAAAGTGTATGTGTGTGAATGTGAGTGTGTATGAGTGTCTTACAGTACTGGGTTGCAGCTGCAGGACATCCACTGTGTAAGACATGCTGGAAAAGTAGGCGGTTCATTCTGCTGTGGCGACCCCTGAGGAATAAAGGGACTAAGCTTAAGGAAAATGAATGAATAAACCATGTGTATAGCCTACGTTGAGAATTTAACAATACAACCTAAACAAATAAAAAGTCATTTAAGTAAATGGGCTTCTTTATTAAAATTATTATTTTATTACCTATTATTTAATACCTAATAATAAATACCTAAAATTATTTATCTTTATTACCAACACTGACTCACATAATTAACACATCTCTTGACTCTGGTTTATTCCCCACTACATTTAAGCAGGCTAGGGTAACCCCACTGCTAAAGAAACCCAACCTGGACCATACGCTACTTGAAAACTACAGACCAGTATCCCTGCTTCCATTCATGGCCAAGATTCTGGAGAAAGTAGTGTTCAATCAAGTCCTGGACTTTCTTACTCAAAACAATCTCATGGACAACAAGCAATCCGGCTTTAAGAAAGGCCACTCGACTGAGACTGCCCTGCTCTCGGTCGTGGAGGATCTCAGACTGGCTAAAGCAGACTCTAAATCATCAGTCCTCATTTTGCTGGACTTGTCAGCTGCTTTTGACACTGTCAACCACCAGATCCTGCTATCTACGCTTGAGTCACTGGGCGTTGCGGGCACTGTTATACAATGGTTCAGATCTTACCTCTCTGACAGGTCATTCAGGGTGTCTTGGAGGGGAGAGGTGTCCAACCTACAGCATCTAAACACTGGGGTACCTCAAGGCTCTGTTCTTGGGCCACTTCTCTTCTCCATCTACACATCATCTCTAGGACCAGTCATCCAGAGACATGGATTCTCCTACCACTGCTATGCTGATGACACCCAGCTATACCTCTCTTTTCATCCTGATGATCCCTCCGTTCCAGCTCGTATCTCAGCCTGCCTGTTGGATATTTCACACTGGATGAAAGATCATCATCTTCAGCTGAACCTCGCAAAAACGGAAATGCTTATAGTTTCTGCCAACCCGACTCTACACCATAACTTTTCAATCCAGATGGATGGGGCAACCATTACTGCATCCAAAATGGTGAAAAGCCTTGGAGTAACGATTGATGACCAACTAAACTTCTCTGACCACATTTCTAGAACTGCTCGATCGTGCAGATTTGCACTCTATAACATCAGAAAGATCCGACCCTTCTTATCTGAACATGCAGCTCAACTCCTTGTTCAAGCTCTTGTTCTCTCCAAACTGGATTACTGCAACTCTCTACTAGCTGGGCTTCCAGCTAACTCTATCAAGCCTCTTCAACTGCTCCAGAATGCAGCAGCACGGGTTGTCTTCAATGAACCTAAACGAGCACATGTCACTCCGCTGCTAGTCCGTTTGCACTGGCTGCCAGTTGCTGCTCGCATCAAATTCAAAACTCTGATGTTTGCCTACAAAGTGACTTCTGGCCTAGCACCTTCTTATCTGCACTCACTTCTGCAGATCTATGTGCCCTCCAGAAACTTGCGTTCTGTGAATGAACGTCGCCTCGTGGTTCCATCCCAAAGAGGGAAAAAATCACTTTCGCGAACGCTCACGCTCAATCTGCCCAGTTGGTGGAATGAACTCCCTAACTGCATCAGAACAGCAGAGTCACTCGCTATTTTCAAGAAACGACTAAAAACTCAACTATTTAGTCTCCACTTCACTTCCTAATCTGCAATTGCCTCTTTGAATATCACACTAATTGTACAAAAAAAAAAAAAAAAAAAAAAAAAAAACTACTAACACTTCCCTTCTTAGACTTTACAGACCTGAAACTTGCCTTTAGTACTTATTCATTGTTGCTCTTAGTTGTGTAAATTGCTTCCTTGTCCTCATTTGTAAGTCGCTTTGGATAAAAGCGTCTGCTAAATGACTAAATGTAAATGTAAATGTAAAATGGGCATAATAAAGTAAATATTTTTATCAAGTATTGTAAAAGATTTTTTATTTTATTTTAGGGAAACATACAGAAAAAAATAACATATAGACAAACATATTCACAATGGCTAGAATAGCTAGAAAGTCTCTAAATGATTAAAATGATGAATGAGACCTTAATTTTGATAGGCGGAAGTGGATTTATCGCACGGTCACGTAGAAAGTGACATCAAATAAATGACTGGAGAAACAAACTGGACTTTTATTCTCGAATGAGATGTGAGAGTGGGCACTTATCTATGTTCCCTAAAACAGGGTAGTGGTTATGAACACTGATGAGTGCACTGGCTAGAATGTTTTGTAAATAAAAGAGACTTTTATTTTGACAGGCATTGCGGAAGTGGTTTTTATCGCAGAGAGGCGGTTGTCATCCTGCGCTTCTGATAAAACTGGCTATCGCTCTCATTCATAGCGGACTCTTCGCGCCGAAACGCTGGATGACAAACACATCCGCTTAAGCCACAGTTAACCGACACATCGCCAATATCAGTTCAGCTGGAGAAGGTGAGTAAATAAAGACATTTTCTGATAAACACCTGAAACGGTCACGCAGACGAGCAACATCATCTTCTTCATCATCTTCTTCATCGTCATCACCCAGCTAACGGTACCGCTGCTAGCCAGAGGACGTTATAATAATGTTATAACTAATTGTGATAAAAAAAACCATTGAAATGTTTTGTCATTTAGACTAAAATAACTAAAGACAGAAGAGCTGGAGGTAATTGTTAATAATAAGTTATGCAATTAATATATTTGGAAGATAAGCTTTTTTCTTCTTTTGACTATTTGCTGTTGTAATTCAGTTATCAGCATTTAATAAAACAAGAAGCCATTACAGGAAAAACATTGAAACGTGCAATAATAAGCACGTCTAAAAGCAGATGTGTCGATCAATATCGGGGTCAAAGTGTCATCCGATCAGAAGCTCCGCCCCAAAGAAAAATAAAAACAAATTCAGTTTTATGACACATTTTCAGTGTTGTTCATCCTTTTTTGCATCTTTAAAAACTGTTATTGTGTATATTTGTAGATGAAGTTGCGGTGGAGCTGGACGTGCTTCTTGTTACTCTCCATCTCCATGGTAACATTGGCCCAGGATGAAGACCTGGAGGATGAAGAGGAAGCTCAAGTGGAAGATGGAGATTTGGACATGGAGGCTGACAGCTCTGAAAGCGTTGAAGCTGATGCTAATGTGTCCTTTCAGGTTCAAAATAATTAGCACTCATTTAAAATACAGGGATTTGTTATAATGCTCGTCAGAAAATATGATTACAAAATTTTATATTAGGGTTTCTGCAGGGTCTTAAAATGTCTTAAATCCATGTCTTAAATGTACAAAATAGTTTTTTAGGCCTAAAAAAATCTTAAATTCACTGAAATATTGTGTTGTAGGTCTTAAATTTTTTTTTAAACAAGTCTTAATTTTCTTTTGTTCGTGTATTGCTAGCAAATCTGGTTCAAAACCCATACAATCACCAACAATCCATCTCAGTAAAATTAAAATTTTAGAGAAATTTTAATAGAAAAAACTCTTTTTATCGTAATAGTTTAATTATTTTCCTTACAATAACATTAGTTTAAAAGTGTTCTATGTATTTCCTGGTGAAGACACAGACCTGGACAGATTGTCATGCATAGATTTATATTATTATAACTTTTGAAACTTTTGAAACATTTGTTTATTTAAAAGAATATATATATATATATATATATATATATATATATATATATATATATATATATATATTTTTTTTTTTTTTTTTTTTAAGTGAATGGATACAAGAAGAGCTTGAGGGTTTTTAATCAATATTTAAAATATTTTGCTAAGAAATATAAAAAATATAATTTTTTATTATTAATTTATTGTTGTATTAAATTAAAGTGTTATTTTTGACAGAGCAAATAAAAATCTTTCCCCTCTGGGTAAATTGAAAAATTCCTCAGCCTTTAGCCCTTTATAAGTAAAAAATTTAATTCATAATAGATTCATAATTCTTAAAATGTCTTAAATTTAACTTGGTGAAACCTGCAGAAACCCTGGATATAATCGTGATGCCCCCAGTCCTCTGATCTTCTTTGTGATATTTATTTTTAATCTTTTTTTACATGCTTAGGTAACGTACAAAACTCCAGTTCCAACAGGAGATGTTTTCTTCACTGAGACATTTGATGACGGATCTTTGGGCAGGTTTGTAGATTTCAAATAGTTTTGCATGATATTTTAGATGGTTTTTGTGGTTTGTTATCCAAGCATGAATTTGTATTCTTCTTTTTTACCTTTTCTTGTAAAATATTAAATATACTGTAACTATATAACTGTAAGATTTAGTATTTGTTGTTATTGTGTCATTAATATTGTGTTATTATCAAAATTAGTTATTAATTCTATCAGATGTACAGAATTATTAGCCCCCCTTTGATTTTCTTTTTAAAATTTTTCACAAATGATGTTTTACAGAGCAAGGACATTATCACAGTATGTCTGATAATATATTTTCTTCTGGATAATATCTTGTTTTATTTTGGCTAAAATAAAAACAGTTTTTAATTTTTTAAAAACTATTTGAAGGTCAATATTATTAGCCTCTTTAGTCTATATTTTTTGATGTACTACAGAACAAACTATCGCTATACAATAACTCCCCTACTTACCCTACTCTGCCTAGTTAACCTAATTAACCTTGTTTAAATGTCACTTTAAGCTGTATAGGAGTGTCTTGAAAAATATCTTGTCAAATATTATTTACTGTCATCATGGCAAAGATAAAATAAATCAGTTATTAGAAATGAGTTATTAAAACTATTTTGTTTAGAAATGTGTTGAAAAAACCTTTTTGTTTTACAGAAATTGGGGAAAAAATATACAGGGGGTAATAATTTAGAGGGCTAATAATTCTGACTTCAACTGTAATTGTGCAGAAAAGCGATTATATAGTCAACTTATTATTTTTTTATGAAAATATGATTATGATATGTTAATGATATATATATATGATTGCGTTTCATTATTTTCTGCAGTTGGCAGGTGTCTAAAACAATGAAGGAGGACGCTGATGAAGATATTGCAAAATATGATGGTTAGTTATCCAGCATGGTTTAACTTTCTTCATGCTTAGAGCTCTATTCAATTCTTTTTATTCCAGACATAGTTTGTTTCCCTCCTAATTTCTCTGAACCAAATTAAATTTTAGTAATGCATTAATGCAGTCTAACACTTTAGTATTACATTTAGACGCTTTCTCAGATTCTAGTTTATTAGTAACACTTTAGGTACCAATTCACGGTATTAACAAACCATTAACTAACACTACTATCCTAATAAACTACTAATTAGCCATTTATTAATAGTTAGTGAGGTTAAAGTTTGGTTTAGGTATTGGGTTGGATTAGGGATGCAGAATAGGATCATACTTTGTAATAACTAAAGAACGGTTAATGTTCTAATAATAGACGGGTAATAAGCCAGTACTAAATACTGTGAATTGTGACCTAAACTAAAGTGTTAACAGTTTATTTATCTTAAAATGAAAACATTTAAGAATAGTTGTTTTGATTGTGTCTAAAACATTTTTTTCCATATGTTTTTAAGTCAATACTTGATTCAAAATGTTCTCTTTTTTGTTGTGTGTTTTGTTGTAAAGAGGCTGCTGTTTACATGTTATGACAAACTGTACAATGTAATTTTTATAACTGGATTGTAGAACAGCATTATAATGTTCCACTATTTGGAAACCATAAGGTCCTATAGCTGAGTCAAGAAATTTGTGGAATATCATGGCATTTTAAAACGTCTATTCCAGACATTGAAAAAAAAAAATTAAATAAATAAATAAATAAATAAATAAATATATATATATATATATATATATATATATATATATATATATATATATATATATATATATATATATATATATATATATATATATATATATAATTTTTTATAAATTTAAAGGCTTAGATGGGTGTAAAAAATATATAATTATTTCAATATTTATTTAATGTTGAATTAATGTTACAATCTAAATGAGAAGATTAACAAGCCCTTTGAATTAAATAAAGCAATCCAGTCCAGCTTTGCTTGAGGCTTTAGCACTATGTCCTAAACAGATGTAACTTGATAACACATTATTAAATATATATTATTCTTTTTGTTGCTTGTTCAAACAGCTTGTTTAAAATGAGCTGAAACAACACTTACTTTTGTTCTATCTGGAGACAACTTAATTGTTTTATGTTCAATCCACTTAAATAAAAAAAAAACTATGAAATTAACACAAATGTTTGTGTTGGGAAAACATGAAGACATAATTTGTGTGTGACAACTGAAAGTAATTGTGTGGAACCAAGCATTTTTACAGTGTATCATAGGTCATGGAAATTCAGCTTTTTGGTTCGTGAAAGTCTGGTAATTTGAGTGGGAACCTTTTCATTGTCTGTAGGTAAATGGGAGGTTGAGCCCCTGAAGGAAAATACAGTGCCTGGTGATTTAGGTTTGGTGCTGAAATCTCGTGCCAAGCATCATGCAATCTCGGCTCTGCTTAACAAACCATTTGTGTTTAAGGACAAACCTCTCATCGTCCAGTAAGTGTGTTTTGTATTTGTTGTAATCTGACATTTGACATACCTTGGATTTCTTTAATAAAACTTGTTAATTCTAACAAAACCCAATCTATATACAGGTACGAGGTCAATTTTCAAGATGGAATTGACTGTGGCGGTGCCTACATCAAGCTTTTGTCAGACTCTAAAGACTTAGAGCTGGTATGTTAATTGTCTGTTTCGTATTACCAGAACAAATTAGAAAAAAAATTCCTTTGTGTGCTTAAAGATGCTAATTTTATAGAATACTAAAATAGTAAGGTACTATTGGATTTATATAGCAGATTATGAATATGATATGATGTATATTAATGACTCACAGGAACAGTTCCATGATCGCACACCGTACAGCATCATGTTTGGGCCAGACAAATGTGGAGAAGACTACAAACTGCACTTCATCTTCAGACATAAAAATCCCCTCAATGGAGACGTGGAAGAAAAACATGCCAAACGACCCGATGTTGATCTGAAGAAGATCTACACTGATAAAAAGACTCACCTCTTTACACTTGGTGCGTATGCTGTAATGAAAGCACTTGTGGAAACCTGTTACTTTTTATTATATAGAGATTATAAAAGGGCAATTGCATAAAGATGGCTCAGTGGTTAGCACTGTCGCCTCACAACAAGAAGGTCACTGGTTTGAGGCCTGGCTGGGCCAGTTGGCATTTCTGTGTAGAGTTTCCATGTTCTTCTCGTATTGGTGTGAGTTTCCTCCGGCTGCTCCAGTTTCCCCCACAGTCACAGCTATAGATGAACTGAATAAAGTTAATTGGCCATAGTGTATGTGCGTATGAGTGTGTATAGATGTTTTCCAGTACTGGTTTGCAGCTGGAAGAGCATCCGCTGTGTAAAACATATGGTAGATGGTATGGTTTGCGGTTCATTCCGCTGTGGCGACCCCTGATAAAAAAAGGGATTAAGCCGAAGGTAAATGAATGAATAAATGAGATAATATAGAAGTAATAAAGAAGCGTATTTAATCAGTTATAACAATGAGAGGTAAAATCTAAAAAAGAATGTCACCTAGTGGTGTTACGGATGACAAATCTCACGGTTTGGATCACATTACAGTTTTTGAGTCATGGATCTAACCATTTTTGGATCAGCAAAAAGGGGAGGAAACAAATGTTATTTGCTTTTTCATTTATCACACTGTAGAACCCCAAAAGTTAAGGTAATTCAAACCAATTGAGGAAACCGATTGCAACAAACCATTTAAGTTAAACAAATCCTAATGAGTACTGTGAACTTAATCCATTTGAGAAAATAAAGCAATTTGAGCACAGTAAAACCCAATAAATGAAGAGAACTCAAACCAACTGAGTACTGTAAAACCCAATAAGTTAAGTCAACTCAAACTGTTTGAGGAAACCGATTGTGATAAACCATTTGAGTTGGTAATCTATAAGAGCACTGTGAACCTACCCAATTTAAGTTGAAGTTAAAAGGTATTTAAATAGCTCATTACCTTGACACTGAGTTCAAAACTCTTTTCAAATGAGTAGAATTAACTTTCAGTCAATTTTGAGTTAACTACACTCATTTTACTTGATAAAGTTGACTGTTGAGTTTTACAGTGTACAAAAACAGCAATGCAAGAAATTTTTGGTTTTAACAAACATTGATAAGAACCTGTCATTTTAATAAAAATATAATCAAGAAATTACCAGCTCAATAAATATTCAATACTGTGAAAAATGATCTTTGCTACAGTTGCTGATAAGGCTAAATGTATAATTTTAACATTATAATCTTGTTTTAGTCTCATTTTCAAATAATGATTCAGTAACTCACTCACAAAAAACTATCATGTTCTATAACTAGATGTGTCTTTTTTGAAGAATTAATATTTTTTTAATGGCTGGTTGTCACCATTGTTGGTTTAAACAATGTAATTGCTACAACTTTCTTTTTAAGCGTCAAGTTGCATTAAACAGTGATTTTAATCTTTACCATAAACATCAAGGTTTATATATGAACTAAAAACTGTTCTCCCAGTACTTCTGTGTTATTTTATTGTTTTATGTTTGTAACTAGGAAATAATACAGGCTGAAAAGACTGAGGATCGAATCTCTTTATCGGTCAAACGCAGATTTGGATGCAGCGCATCAAAGGATTAATAAACATACGCGAATGACCATAATATATGCTACGTGGACAAAATGGTTTCATAATTGTGATTTGAATGACATGGGATGCAATCATTGCAAATTTCGTAATAAATGATGCATCATGCGATTAGATTTGAATTATGTGGGATGCGATCATTATTACAAATTTAGAAAAAATCTGTAGGTCATGTGCGTACCGGACCGTGGGTCAATTGTGTCCATTATATCCATAGTGTCACACTATTACATAAAAAAATGTAATTTCACTTTTCTTAAAACACAATTTAGCTTGCATGTAATGATTTATATACAGTCATTTAGAGGCAATAGTTGAATCAATAATTATTTGTACTCTTCTTTTTTATTTATTTCAGTTCTGAATCCTGACAATAGCTACGAGACCTTCATTGACCAGTCCAGTGTTAGCAGGGGAAGTCTGTTGACCGATGTCGTTCCACCTGTCAACCCTCCAAAAGAGATCGATGATCCCAAAGACTCCAAACCGGAGGACTGGGATGAGAGAGCCAAAATCCCAGACCCAGAAGCTGTTAAACCTGAAGAGTGGTGAGTGTGGTTTTAAATATCAAGCAAAGTCAAAATGCAAAGAATTTCTTTGGCATGGTTTTCTTGAGGAGCCATGTATAGGAATGACAGGATTCCCATGCTTCTTCAAAGTACTTGAATGTAAGACATATGGATTCAAGGTATGGAAAGTACTTAAAAACAAACATAGGTCTCTGAAAGTGCTTGAATTAAACTTAAAACGAGTTTATGGTGTTATTTTAACAATTGTACTGAATAAAAATAGACAAATTCTTAATTTAAACTTGTACAAGAACTGACAACTAATGCACATTTTGTCATTGATGCTTAAAAAGTCCCTAAATCTGCTGTTTATGAAAGAACCCTGGAATGAAGGTGTGTTAAATTAAGAAAGAATGGCGAAAGTCAAGTCATTTCTTTGTATCTGTGTCTATATAGGGATGAAGAAGCCTTAGCTAAGGTTCCTGATCCAGATGCAGTGAAGCCTGATGGTTGGCTGGATGATGAGCCAGAGTTTGTGTCTGACCCCACTGCTGAAAAGCCTGATGACTGGTGAGAACAAATGTATCGGTAGCACTTTATTTTACAATTTTCTTATGTACAGTCTATATAATTATTTTAGTTTACACACTGAAAAAATTACACTTTGAACCATTGTATTATAACATTACTGCAATTTGTTACAGCTACATTTTCTTTTTTGTTTCTCTCAAAGTATAATTTAACTGTGATTCAATTAAACAATACAATTGTATTTAATCATAATCAAAAATATTGATTGTGGTCAAGAAAAAAGTTACTTACACGCAAAACAAAAATATTGCTTAAAATAGAGACACTAAATATGTGTTTGTTTGTTTTTTACTTTAGGGCAAAGTATAATTTTGGTTTGGACCTGTAATTGAATTCTGTAATTTGCTACAGCTAAATTAATAAATTAAGCTCTAAATATTTATTCTGTCCAAGAAAAAAAATATACATTGACTCCAAGGTAAAATATTGTTTTTGTAAATGATGAGTTATTAAATTAAATTGGTACAAAATTCAAATAAAGTTCTACTTTGGACTACTTCTACTTAGACTACTACAACTTAGTTCTACTTAGTTTTTTTTTTTGCAATGCATAGTACATTAAAACTTCCATTAAAACATTAAAACTAAAGCCCTAAATCTAACCATGTATTTTCCTTAAATAGCTCAGTACTTTTTTGGCAAGCAAACTATTAGTGTTTCTAAAGTATTTCCTTTAAGCTAATGCTTCTATCAATGCTCAATGAGGAGAATCACTTTATTTGAAAATATAAACATTCAATGAAATATGATTTAGGTGCAAAAGAATTTTAAATTGAGTACATATATTAAGGCTGCAGGATATTTCCAAAAAAACCTGACTTTTCAATATTTTGTTGTCCTGCCATATATAATACAGTATTGCGAAATTAATACAGTTTCACTTGACTTGAATAGCTCTATTTGGAAAGAATTCATCTTTTTAAATTAATCATCACATACATACATCGTCTACATAAATAATGATAAAATACAAGCATACAGTAAATAAATGCAATAAAGCAAAGATACAAATCAAATAAACAGTTCTTTATGGGTTTCTAGAGAGTCTTAACAGAATACAAGTACAGAAATCAAATGTAAAGATCTGTATGGTTTAAACTTTCTTCAATTGCTTACACTGTCACATGCAATAAAAGCATATGAATATGTTAAAATATGTTTAAATATCGTAGTGACTTCATAAATCATGTGTTATAGTGAACTATAATCCTGATTCGACTTTGCACATATTGTAATATTGTGACTATTGCTATGGTGAAACAATAAAAACCATTTCAATGTGGTGATGTCATTGGTCCATGAACATTTCCTGCTTGTAATCAAACTATTTCATAACTAACAAGAGGCAATTCAATCATAACTTAATGTTAAAACAGCTATCATAACATTATTTATCAATATGTGGCTGTTTTTGGATTCTCGGAAGCTTTAGAAATTAAAAATGTAAAACAAGAAATACACTTTGACCATTGCTTTTTTGACATATCCATCAAAATGGTCTATATACTAATAAACATTTTCTTCTAGCAAGAAAAAGTCAAAACACTACTTTGTAGCTTTGGGGCCTGAACGGGTCTCAACAAACAGTTTATCTCCATTTACAGAAACGTACTGGCTGATGGCAGAGGAGATAGTGGGTTGGACTAGGTTAAAATGGAGAAGCTGATAGTAAAATGGCCTGCAAGGAATAATTCATTCTATAGATCTTGAGAAGAGTGTGTGGAAATGATGGTTTTTACCTGCTCATCAGTTAATGTAGGGAAAAATAAAGCACTAAACATTGAGTTTTGTCAAAGTAGTATGAAGAGGACACTGACTTGAGTCATGTTGTATGTACTTCGAACTTTAGAAGATATAATTCAGTTCGATAAGCCCATGTACCGATGCATACAGGGTTCAGAGGCCAGATTTTTGGGGCTAAAATGGCTTGATGGTAAATAACTTAACCTTTTTTCTGTAAAACAGCATTAGCGACTGAACTTTTAAACGTACACTTTTGCCTAGGCCTATTTTTTAAGTTATTAGACAATGGTTTTTATTTAGAGAGTCTTTAAAGGAATTATTTTCAAAGGTGAATACTTCAAAAATGGTAGAATTTTATATATATTTTTATGTATCATTTACTGTTGCTGATGTCTTATTGTGTCATTATATAAAAGTTCTGTTTATAAAATGGTTATAAAAATGATTTGTTTTTGACATTTAATAGCCAGGAAAACTGATATGGCAATTTGTGAGACGTTTGTGGGCTTTCTTATCAAAAAGAGAAAAACAAAGAAATAATGAAAGAGATTAATAGTTCTAAAACTGGAATGTGCTAAGTCATGCATGTATTTATTTTTTGTTGCAAACGATAATATTTAATCATTTAGAAGTGGTGAAATGACTGAATGTGAAACTTCTAGGTCTGAGACTTGATAAATGATAAGTGAATTTTGGCAAAACTTTCAAAAATTCATTCTTAATTTTATTCCTAATATGCTGAAATCAGCTCCACTAATGTTTCTTGTCTTATTCAGATCAGATTTAAAGTGCATGAATCCTATTTTCAGTTCAAAGTGGTTCTGTTTCAGTATATTATTGGCCAGTTATTTATGTTTTAAGGGCTTAACGAAATAAAGAAAGAGATTAGTAAAAAAATATTGTGAAGTAAAACATTTAAACCTTTTCAAAATAATTGATTTAATGCAATTATATGACTGTCCTAACCACAACCTATAAACACACTTTAGTCAAAGCCACATTTTATCAGAAAGGTCATAAAATGTCAATTCTTTAAAATTTAGCTTTATGAATCATAATTATAAAATGAAACTTTACTTTGTGTGGATAATTATCTTTAATGTTATGCCTATTTTGCAGACAATGACTCATTTTTTAAATTATATTGATGTCGTAGTCTGTAAAAAAAATACTTTACCTAAATCGTGTTTAATTCAAAACAGCACCAAAAATGTGAATGTTGAATAGTGTCTACTTTAAGCTTAAATGTACTTTAATGTTAATAGTGTTCCTTAATAAAATAACGTTCCTCCATCATTCAGAGATACTTTTATGTAAAAGCTAAACATGCTTATAACGAACATACTAGATTTTATAATATTTTAAAAGATTAAAAGGTTTTTATTCTGGCAAATGAATAAAATCAATGAGTTTTAAATTGGTATTCTGAATTTCTAAGGCTGTAATTTGATAGTTTTTTTAAATCATAAAATCATTCTCTGACATAAATTCCTGCTTAACATTTGAAAAGCTGTCCTAAAAAGTCTTACATTCTTTGATTTGACCATTTTAATGACTTTGGCACTGATGAACGTTCAAACGATCAAATTCATGAAGTATCTCAGATGAGAAAATCTGTTACCTTGGCATTGTAAAATATTAATACCCTAGAACATTATGAATACCCTATAATATATTGAATATCTTTGCTTTATTGCTTTGTCAATAAAACTCCTTTTTATTAATAATACTCCCTCTTTCTCTTAGGGATGAGGAAATGGATGGAGAATGGGAAGCTCCTCAGGTTCCAAATCCGGCATGTACATCTGCTCCAGGCTGTGGTGAATGGAAGCCACCCATGGTCAATAATCCTAAGTATAAGGGCAAATGGAAAGCTCCTCTTATAGACAACCCCAACTACCAGGTACTGGCAACTAGACTCATCAAGAAAGAAATGTTGCTCATGTGCTTGTATTTCATTTAAGGAGACATGTTGGGCCCTGTTTCACATTGAAAACGTAGTTATTATGTCTTGTTAAACTTGCTCTTATTTGGGTGTGAGCAAAAAACACTTTTTGTGTGTGTCCCTTTAAATGCAAATGAGTTGTCGCCATTTCCAGAAGAAGGTAGAGCTTTTAAGTGTTATTCTGATACTCTAGAAACAACTAAACAAGCAAATCTCATACAGAAAATTTGTAAGAAATTACCAGTGGTGGACGATTCTATTTAGCTCAACTGACCCTTTACTAAGCCACGCCCTCCTTAGTTACTGTTGCTACACCTGTCAAACTTTCGTGCCTGGCAAGTCTTTTACAATATGTATGCACCGGTGTCAGACATTGCAAGGGATATAATGTCATTTTTGGCAAACAGGTACGTTATCCGAGAAAGCCAGACAAAAAAAGGACTGCAGTTTGCATTACAGGGATATATTCACCACATAATAGGCAACCAATTAGAGAATAATTCAATCAAAATTTAAGCTAGCTTAGCCTAGCCGCCTCATACACTGACCATTCAACAGCTTAGCTCATGCTCAGCAAGAGAGGTGACATTTAAAAAGAATCTAATAATAACAAATTAAAGCGTGATTTCTCTATTTTTAGCCCAAAAGCCTGATAAACTATTGTTGTGCAATGAAATATAGCGTTACAAACCAAAGAGGAAACACGCTAGGTCAGTGTTTTTACATAGTTCATTCAAAGAGAGATTTGTGCCGAATATTAGCATCATTGACCCATAACAATGTACTGTAATTTACCTATAACTGTCAGTATATTTGTGTGCTCTTTATAAATTAATGAACAACAGCTGGGGGTAGAGTATATTGATCGCAAGTACTCAGTTTGTGATCACATCTCTGTTTTGTTCTGTTGATTTGTAATATCAAATATTCGTAGCTTGAAATAGATGGACATATGAAGTTCAGTAAAGTTAGCAACAGATTTTCAGATTCGTATTTGTCGAATCAATAACTCTTGTCATTATGATCTATTCGCTATTAGTATGACTACGTTACTATGGCGAAGGCTTAAACAGAGCATTGCTCATAATATCAAATGAAAAAAAAGAATTAGACAGCTGTGAAACATAACCTGCTTTGTATTTTTATAGGAAACACCGTTTAGATCTGTTTAGGGTTAGAGGTGTGTGAGTTATTGTTGTCAGTCTATCACTGAATGTGTCAGGAATATCAAAACAAAACCAACTTATTTCCGCTCCTTTAGCGCCCCTCACACAGCTTGATCCAGGCTGGCATTTCTCCTCTTGGATTTTTGGTTTTGAAAAGGGAAAAAAAGTCCACCATCCAGTCCAAACTTTTAGGACACCGGTTTCAGATTTGCATAATCCATATGAACAACACGCTGACCTGTTTCCCTCGCTCGAAAGCTTGACAGAGCCCCTGCTCGTAGCTACGGTTGCTAAGCCACGATTGGTGGGTTGCGGTTTTTGGGTGTGGCTTAGCGAAGGGTCAATTCATCTTTAGTACTATAGTGTTTTTTTTTACAATGCAGATTGTGTCAAAGTAGCTAAACATAGATGAAAGGCGAATTAAAAAGTCGTAATTGTTCAAATTGTAAAACATTCCAGCAAGTCAGGCAGGCAGGAAAGTAGTGTAGAATGTTAGTGGAGTTTTGGATCGATTGAAATGGGTTAATTTCAGATTATTATTAATGTCACTGTTGAAGTTCAGTTTCATTTATTCGATCAGTGTAATGCAAATGTAAATGCTGAAGGATAAGCCAATGAAGGGTAGCTCCACCAGTGAGTTTTGCTGTTTTCAGTGTTCAAGCTGGTGTCAGAAAATGAAACTGTTAACCACTGACATCCATAGTAGGAAAAACAAATACTTCGAAATCTCTTCGAAATCACTTCAAAATCAATGGTTACTGGTTTCCAGCATTTTTCAAAATATCTTCAACAGAAGAAGGAACACAAATGGGTTTGTGACAAGTGAATGGGCAGTAAATTATAAATGTTTAATTTTTTGGGTGAACTTCCTTTCATTCAGGTTATTCCCAGCTTTATCAAGAGTCGCCAAGGCTAAATGAACTGCCAATTATTCTGGCAGTTGTTTTACACAGCAGATGCCCTTCCAATCACAATCCAGCACTGGAGGTTGTACTCTCAGCCCTTACACTCTATCATTCACACACTTTGGCTGATTTGGTGTATTCAATACACCTATATCACGCCATTGGAGCCATATATGAGACACTTGACCTCCTTTAGTGGACTTTGCTATGCTGGGTACTAAGAGAAGCTTTGAGTTTTGAGATCTTAAAGAGATCTTAAAGAGCCCCCAAACTGTACAGAGACAGAAGGTCGGTTAGATAAACAAGAGCTAGACTATTTAAAGCTTTATAGGTAAGAAGCAATGTTTTATAATCAATATAGTACTTAACAGACAGCCAGTCTAAGGAGGATGAAATTGGCGTGATATGATTGTATTTGACCTGGTAAGAACTCAGATACTTCTAGAACGCATTAAACAAATGACTGATATGATTCCTCGCTCATCATTAAGAGAGCAGGGAGAAAAAAACAAACATTTGTATTTACAGACTCTGTATATTTATTCACAGGGTGTGTGGAGTCCACGTAAGATCCCAAACCCCGACCACTTTGAGGACCTTCACCCATTTCGGATGGAGCCATTCAGAGCTGTGGGTCTGGAGCTTTGGTCTATGACATCCGACATTTACTTTGACAATTTTATTATCACCACAGAGAAGGAAGTGGCGGACCGCTGGGCTGCAGACAGCTGGGGACTCAAAAAACTTGTGGCGAGTGCCAACGAGGTACGCCCCTGACTCTCACCCATGTCTGCCTCTGGGCATTGTTGCTCATCAGGCTTTAACTTGGTTGTTGTACTCAGACTGTCTATTTCTGTCTCAGCCTGGAGTGTTGAGTCAGCTGGCACTGGCTGCCGAAGAGAGGCCATGGCTGTGGGTGATTTACATCCTTACCATCGGTTTGCCAATTGGACTGGTTGTGCTTTTCTGCTGGCCAAAGGTAAGGCCTGCTCCACAAAGAGGATCGTTCTTAATGCGTAAAGAAACACTTGATGTAGCAAGCCTGAGAGACAGCTATATTTAGACTTTCATATGCTGCAAATCATATAGATGTGTGGGTACAGCATAATAATTCATTACATAATCCGTTTTCATCACAAAGGATGATTTGGTTCCGTACAACCATAAGCAAATTGGATAACAAGAGAAGCAGGATAAAACACTCTGCCTACACAAATGCACAGTCAACCGTACACATTTACATCGCATTTACATTTTACAAGTATTCATTTAGCAGACTCTTTTATTCAAAGAGACTTACAAATGAGGACACTAGTGATTCATACTGAGGAGACTGAAAACTGCTGTAAAATAATGCAAAAAAGTGTGCCGGAACATTCAGTACGAGCACAGAGATTTGGGTCTGAAAACGTGAAGTTTCCTTCAGCTTACTCAAAACATGGTTTCGGTTTAATTTGAGTTGCTTTAATTGAGTTTTTAGTTTGATTTTTGTGTGTGTGTTTTTTTCTTTTTTTGTTTCTGAATTGTTTGTTTATTTGTTATTTAGATTCCATTATGTTTAGCTTTCATGTTTGTTCCATTTTTGTTTCAGTTTGTTTTTATTTTTGTTATTTTTGTCTTTGTTTTGCTTTAGTTTGTTTTTTATCTTTTGTTTTAATTTTCGGATTTTCTATTTGTTTTTTCTGGTTTGTTTTGATTTCTTTGGGTAATATTTCAAGTTTTTTTTATTTATTGTTTTTTATAAACTTTTTTGTTTGGCCAGCTTTTTGTTTTATTTTATTTTATGGTTGGATTTCTTTGTGCACTATTGTCATTTGTAGTGAGTTTTGCTTATGCAATCAGGGGTCCGTTCTTCATACGTGGATTACCCTATTAGCTGGATTTCGTTATTGGCAATTTGACATGATCCAGGATTGTTTTATTCTTCAAAATCTATCCGAGAGCTGTTGTCATAGCAACAGTTCCTGTTAGCTCAAACCTGCTAGGAAACAGGCCCATTTCAGATAAACAGGATTAGATTGGGTTTTTTTAAGCAAAGGTAATATTGAAAGTATATAACGAATGCTGATATTTTCTTACAGTACTAGTAATTGTATATACACGATAGATCAGTCCTTAAAAACACATGCAGCAATCTCAGATCAGTTCATCCAGATATTTCATATCTGATTTGCAAGCTTTTTGAAGAACCAAATTAGCCAGAGATCAGTTATCAGGATTAAAAGAACCCAGATCTGCCAAATCATCTTATAGGTAATTTAAGCGAGGTACAAAGAACAGATCTCAGGGCTGCACGATATTGGAACATTTTACATTTCGATAATTTTTTTCTCTGCGATATACAGTTGAAGTCAGAATTATTAGCCCCCCAATTTTCCCCAATTTCTGTTTCACAGAGAGAAGATTGTTTAAACACATTTCTAAACATAATAGTTTTAATAACTCATTTATAATCCCAGATGACAGTAAATAATATTTTACTAGATATTATTCAAGACACTAATATTCAGCTTAAAGTGACATTTAAAGGTCTAATGAGGTTAATTAGATTAACTAGGCAGGTTAGGGTAATTAGGCAAGGTATTGTATAAAGATGGTTTGTTCTGTAGACTATCGAAAAAAAATATAGCTGTAAGGGACTATTAATTTTGATCTTATAAGAAATTGTAAACTTCTTTTTTTCTAGCCAAAATAAAACAAATAAGACTTTTTTTGGAAGAAAAAAATATTATCAGACATACTGTGAAAATGTTCTTGCTCTGTTAAACATCATTTGGGAAATATTTAAAAAAGAAAAAAAATTCAAAAGGGACTAATAATTCTGACTGTATATATTGCGACATAATTTCACCAGATGGCTTAAATAGCTCTATTTGCAAAGTCGTTACATGGGAGGATTTTGTAGGGGAGAGAAATATAAATATATTTTAATTAATTTATTATATACATATATAATAAACAAAATACAGTCAAACACAATGGAGCAAATATTAAAGTGAAATGAACCATGCTTTATGGTTTTCTGGAGAGAGTCTAGCAGTATTCAGGTACAGAAATTGAATAATCAAATGCAAAATAGCACTGTACAGTCTTCACCATATAAATAATTCAATCAAATGAATCCTTATTAAACTTCTTTATGCACTATTAAAATGCTTTAAACTCTCTTCAAATGCTCACACACTCACAGGACTGAAAAACACATCCAGGAGATAAACTTTCACTCTATTATAGTTCAGTTCTGCAGTGTCTCCACAAATCTCATGTGTTTTGACCTGTGGTTTCTGGTCATCTATAATCCTAACTCAACATTGCATATCTTGCGATGTGACACTTGCGGATGCACACATTGCGATATCCATACTCAAACGATACATTGTGCAGCCCTACTTTGGTTTTATCTTTTACTTTGATCAGTGAATTTATTTATTTTTTACTTTGTCATATTCAAGTTAAGATCAAGGACTGGTCTTTTTAAGAATTATGGCTCAAATCCAGGATTTTCAGACATTTGCTGTGTGATAAGATCCACATAAAACATCATATACAGTTAACCAATCTTGTTGACAATGCAAACTCAGTTGATTTATTACTAAAGATTAGGGTGTTTAGGATTAGCTTGCAAGCACAAAATCCTCTTATTGAGTATTTATCGTTGGTAGCATAGCAACAGACTATCAGTATCATACTATAAAGTAGTACACAGGTACACACAAATATAAACAGGTGTGGTATAACAAACAGAATGACACCCGTCTTAAGTAGACTTGTATTTAAATGCGTGTATTGCAGAAGTCAGATGATGACTATGTCTACAAGAAAATCGATCAGCCCAAAACAGAATCAGAGGAGGTGGCTGAAGAAGAAGAAGAAGAGGAGGATGAGGAGGAAGGGGACGGAAAAGGAAAGGATGATGATGAAGCTAAAGCAGAGGAAGCTACTGAAGCTACTGGTTTGTGAAATGATTTAACTTCGTTCTACATTTTATCTTTTGTTTCGTTGTAGATATTGTGCATTTCCTAATTAGAATTCTCCTTTAGCAGGGGATGAGAATGGAGATATGATGGGGCAGGAAAATGGAGAAGATGGAGGAGAAACAGAGGAGGAGGAAGAGGAAGAGGACGAAGAGGAGGAAGAGGCCATTAAGCCAAATGAAACGGCCTCAGAGGATGAAGTAAGCACATTTGGGATGCCCTTTAATTTTCAATAACCAGGCTTTGGAATAATGTAAACGTGAGTCTAATACAGTTTTGTTTATGAACTGACTCACATTTATATGGAGTCCAGGAGGGGACGTGATGGTGGGGAAGAAAAGGTGGATGAAAAAAAATTAATAGGAGGAAAAAAACTGAGTAATAGGAAAATATATATATATATATATATATATATATATATATATATATATATATATATATATATATATATATGTATATATATATATATTATTTTTTTATATATATTATATATATATTTCACCTATGGTGAAAAATCTATTTTTCAAGCTGTTTGGACTGACATGTGTGTAGGTATAGTGTATAGACCGTCATATTGGGGTAATATAAACACACCATAACAACATAAAAACTGTGGACCAATTGGAGAGGTTTTTAGATCGACCACAACTTGACGTAGGAGTGCGGTCCCCCCGGCCACCATTATTGATTGACAGCTGCGTGTCACCATATCCTCAATTTGTTGTTTCATGTCCGTCATTTTCAGCGTGTGAGTCAAAGCAATTTCACTAGAGGAACACCCTTGCTCTATTTTTGGATGGAAGGCTCATTGAGCTCAACACAAGATCAGCATTCACCACATGGTCGCTGTAATCGGAATTATTGTTTGCATTTTGTTTGGACACTGTTTGTTTGTAGGTAGGTTTGCAAACATGTGTATTTTTTATTGCGTCTGCCTTAAACTTCAGCCGTTTGCATTTCTCGCGGTCACAGAAGCTCCCTGTACTCCTAACTAGGTGCAGATGGAAAGTGCGAGCACGTTGCCTCACCTGTGTGTCTCTCCTTTGGAAATAAAATAACAAACATGCCTGCAGGTCGCACACCAGAAGCGCCACGCAGCGCCATGGATTTTAGCATTCTAAACATAGGTTTCTATAAGGGTACACACAGCCACACTTCATATTTCTGCCGAGCCACAGAGCGCCATCTGAATAGCTTCATTTTAAATAACATCCAAATGTACGTGATTATTAGTCTCGGTGTACAAGCTCGGAACTTTAAACTAGCACACAGTTTGTGACGGGGTACTATACCTCTGTCAACGGAGTAAATTTACAGTTCTACTGGCGGACAAATATGGACATTGATTCCGGTCAGAGAATCAGGCAACAAAGAAGTAATCCTCTTCAAACTTCTTTAATAACAATTATTAAGCAGTCATTGCCATCAAACTTTCCAAGTATGTTGTGGTCTGTAGAACAGATGAGGAATACAGTATAAATATAAGGTATCTTTACACATTCACTTCAATGAGAAATCACACCATATATACAATGATTAAACAGTGATAATAAAGGAACAAATATATACGTTATAACAAACAAACTAATTAGTTAAATGGCAGTAAAAGGCAATAGGCGGAATGACGGAGCATATATTGCACACTGTATTCTCTCGCGGCTAGCGCGAGCGATATTTTCCCGCGATCGCGGCGCGATCGTCGTCATATATAACAAACAGTCTCTTATATGAAAGGAGTAAATGTTCACTCAGTGATTGTCACATTATTACTCACATTTGGTGCATGAACGCACAACATGTCGGAAGAAAAGGGCGCATTGTGATCTGGCCCGGCATCTGAGTATGGGAAGTTGCACCGCTAATAACAGTCCGTGTGAAACTCGCTAAATATTTTCGGTTCCTAGTGGGCTTTCTGACATAGCCGCCCCCAATTATCGATAAAGATAATTGTAAACCTTAAGAAAGGCCACCTTTGGTTTCCGTGTCTTTATCCTTCATTTCCGGAATTTGAATGAGTTTTACAACAGGCCTCAGATACGACTTATCCTTGACTTGGACTTTGGCAGTTCGAATCCTCCCATCCGCCCCTGCATAGGTCTCTGTAACAGTTCCCACAGGCCACAGCGCACGCGGGAGTTGATTATCTATAAGTAGTACAACTTGGCCGACTACCAGCCCTTTACCATCTGTTCTCCATTTTTGCCTGCCCTGTAGTTCTGGTAAGTAGCGATGGACAAATGCAGCCCAGAATTGGTCAGCCAGTACTTGACTGTGTCGCCACCTGCGTTTACCCAGCATCTCGTTAGAGTCATAAAGGACTTGGGGCAAGGAGGCATCATGACGTCCCATTAGTAACATATTTGGGGTTACAGGATCTGGGTCGGCAATGTCAGATGAGACGTAGCCCAAGGGTTTGGAATTTAGTATGCCCTCCACCTCCACTAGTAAGGTTTGTAGGACAGACTCTGGTACACATTGTTCCCGAAGAATGACTTGCAAAGCAGCCTTAACCGATTTCACTTCTCGCTCCCAGGTTCCACCAAAGTGAGGTGCGTTTGGTGGGTTAAATCGAAACTGAATCTGCTGTTGAGCTAGCTGTGTCTGAAGCTTTGGGGCCATTTGCTTAAATGAGTCTCTTAACTCGTGGTCCCCTCCTACAAAGTTAGTCCCATTATCACAGAGTATTTCAGCAGGCTTCCCTCTACGGGATATGAAACGTCGTAGAGACAGAAGGAAGGCATCAGTATCTAGATGTTCAAGTAGGTCAAGATGCAAACATCTGGTGGTTAAACACTTGAATAAGATCCCCCATCTTTTCTCCCTGCGCCGGCCTATCTTTATGTGAAAGGGTCCGAAGCAGTCTATGCCCGTAGAGTAGAATGGTGGTTTAAACAGACGTAGTCGGCATGGTGGTAGGTCGGCCATTTGTGGGTTCTGTGGCTTGGCACGCCAGAATTGGCAGTTCTGACAGAAATGCTGGTGTTTCCGCACAGCTTCGCGACCTCTAAGCACCCAATATCGACGCCTTAGCTCTGCTAGTACTCGTTCTGCACCAGGGTGATGGAGTTGTTGATCTATGTCTTGGATCAGTAACTTTGTGACTTGATGGTGAGAGTCTAGAACAATCGGGTGAATAGTATCAAATGACAGGGTTTCAGCTCGACGAAGACGTCCACCCACTCTTATCAACTCAGCATCTTTGTCGAATTCTGGAGCAAGAGAACTCAAACGGCTATCTGTCGGAATGGGCTGTCCAGCTTTCAGGGCTCTGAATTCCTCTGGGAATGAATCAAGCTGAGCATGCGCTAAGAGAAGCTTTTCCGCCTGTATATACTTTGAGGCATCGTTTGTAGTTTCAGCGTCAGCCGCCCCATCACAAGATGTGACAGTCGCTTGAAGAAGTTCCTTCCAAGTTCTGAACTGACTGAGGTCTGCTGGTACTGGGCTTGGGGTAACTCTAATGGCTGCAATGAACGATGCTCGTTTGACTTCATTCATATCAGGTTCAGACTTTGTACTGGGTGTCACTGGCCATACTTCCTGTGGTTGAGTCAAGAATGATGGTCCATATCTCCACTGGTGAGGGCCTGCTATTTCCTCTAAAGTAAGCCCCCTGGTAATGTGGTCGGCAGGGTTTCTATTGGAGTCAACATACCTCCACTTGGACACATCTGTCAGTGTCTGAATTTCAGCTACTCTCGACCCTACGAACACTTTGTACCGGCAAGATTCTGACTTTAGCCAATGCAGCACAGTAGTTGAGTCGGTCCAATGTGTAACTTGGTGTATGGGGATAGTAAGCTCAGCTTGTATGACCTTTGACATCTGAGCGCCAGAGTGTGCAGCACACAACTCCAGGCGGGGCATCGATAAACATTTGCGAGGAGCCACTCTAGAGCGAGCTAGGACAAAGGATACATGGACCTTCTCCTCATTCCGGATTTGAAGATAGGCCACCGAGCCATATGCCCTTTCTGAGGCGTCACAGAATACATGTAACTCTCTGATGGTGGAGGGAGTATCTGACATTGCAGGAGCGTATGGTCTGGCGAATTGTACTGTAGTGATATGGGACAGTTCTGCAACCCATGTGGACCATTTATCACGCAAGTATAAGGGTTCGATAGGGTCATCCCAGCTTAGGTTTTGTTTCCAGAGATCCTGAATCAAGGTTTTAGCCCTAGTGGTAAAGGGTATAATAAAGCCCAGGGGGTCAAACTGACTAGCCAGGGTTTTGTACAGGTTTCTCATTGTTGGCTGGATGGGTTCGGCTATGCGGGTTTTATAACCAAGGGTGTCATCAATACAGTTCCATTGCAAGCCAAGTGTGAGTTCCTGCAGGTAAGAGCTACTCTGGGACAACCAGCACTCGCTACTAGCCGATATAGCCTCTGATGGAAGATGCTTCAGGACAGAAGGTACGTTGCACGCCCACTGTCGGATTTCAAAGCCTCCCTTTAACAGTGACTCACGTAGGCCATCAATTATAGCTTTGGCTTCATCCTGATTGGGGGTACTGTGAAGGCAGTTGTCGACATAAAATGAGGTCTCCACAATATCAGCTAGGTCTGGCCTACTTTCTCTGTTTTCCTGGGAATGGCACTGAAGGGCATAAATGGCACAGCACGGGCTGCATGTTGTGCCAAATGGAAGAACCTGCCACTCGTAAATGTCCGGAACTGCCTCCCTATTCATATTCCTCCAGATGAATCGCAGCACAGGCCGGTCCCCAGTAACAGACGCACTTGGTGAAACATGCCTTTGATATCCCCACTCACTGCAACGGCATGCTGTCGGAACCTCAAAATCACCCCCAACAGAGATGGTCCTAGCGTTGGCCCAGGAAGAAGTTGTTCATTTAGACTTTGGCCATTATACTGGAAGGAGCAGTTAAAGACGATACGATCTTTTCCATTATGATGCACCAGGTGGTGTGGGATAAACCATGACTCTGTGGAGTGGTTTGCCTCTTGTGGTGTTATCTTTGCGATGTAACCTGCTGACTCAAGCTTTTGGATCTCAGAACAGTAAACCTGTGCCTGCTCAGGATTTTTGGCTAATTTTCTTTCAAGGTTTCTGAGGCTGGGCAATACAGCTTCAATGCCTGTATGGAGCAAAGTGATGGGGGTACGTCTTAGCAGTGGAGTAGCATAACGCTGTATCCCATTTACGTCTACTCTGACAGTAGTAGTCTGTAAGAGGTTATGGCATTGGTTGTCTTGCTGTGATCTTGTTATCAGCTTTTCATTGTATGGCAATGTGTCAATTTGCCACAAGCGCTCCACATGCTGAGACAGCTCTTCACGTGATGGGGCTGTCATAATATGTAGGCATTGTTGCAGGCCTTTGGGGGGCTGAATTGGACTCATTGGTCCCTGTAGTACCCAACCAAGCTTGGTATGTATAGCAACGGGGCCACCATCTGGTCCCCTTCGTACTGGCTGTGTTGGCGTCAGGAGGTGTGGCAGGTCAGACCCTATGAGGAGTAACGGCTTGACTCTGTCTACTGGCTGTAAAGGCAGACCTTTCAGATGGTGGTATGACTTCTGTAGTGCTGCTACGGGGTAGTTATGCTCAGCAAGACATAGACCAGGGGCAGAAAAGGCATTGCGTATAACATACCTCTCTGATGGCTTGGCAAATGGAGAGACCTCAAAGGTGACTTTGGACCCATTAAGGTCAGTATGGTTTCGCTGGATTGTCTGCAGAGAAAGCACTTCTGGAACTCCACTAAGCCCAAGCTGTCGAACTACTTGAGGGAGGACAATAGTCCTTTCTGAGCCATCGTCGAGCACGGCATAAGCCTCAATAGTTTGGGTTTGACTGTGCAGGAGAACTCGTGCGACCTTGAGCATCACCTTCTGTGAGCGGTTAGGTCTATCCAGATAGATTTGTGTCGAAGGCAAACTCACCATTAGAACTGCTCTGGAAGTGTCTTTAATTGAGTCATGCAGTATGGTAAGATGGATTTCTTTGCATATTTTACATGGCCGCTTGAGGTTACAAGTATTAACTGAGTGATTCCTCCCACACTTCCAACAGCGTTTGTCTCTTGTGATCCAACTGACGATTTGATCGGTGGTCAGCTTCTTGAATTTGTCACATGAGTTCAAATAGTGGTCGGGGTTGTCACAGTACGGACAATACGGCTTTGGCTTGGGACTGACCTTTGCCGGTGTTGCTGCTGGTGGCTTAACAGCGTTTTCTGAAGTCAGAAACGAAGTCGTTGGACGTTCCCAATGATATGAAGAACTTTTACTCCTGCCAGATGTCTTTGTAATATCTGACTGGAACATAGCAACCGCTCTACTGGAGATCCGCTTGGCTTGGGATTTTGTCTGTAACCAGGCTGCTAGGTCAGGTAGTGTATACGTTCTGTCTGTACCAGATTGAAGGATGCCATGACTAAAGCAGTACTCCACAAAGCTATCTCTGTAGGCAGGGGGCATTTTTCCTAAAAGGCGGTCAACATGGGAACCACACATGAGCTCAAATCCATTCTGGCCCTCTAGAGTCCTCAGCATACCGACTAGGGATTGGACAGACAGGGCGAATGAGTCAAATGAGTTTGCGTCACCTATTTTAAGTGGAGGTGTACTCATAATAGCCCCTAATTCAGATTGAACTAGCTGTCTGGGCTGGCCATACTTCGCCTGTAAAGCTTGTAAGGCTGCGGTGTAAGGTTGTGGGTGGTGCATATAAGCTTTAGCTAGCTGTTGTGCACTAGCAAATTTCAGATGACTCATTAATACTTGGTATTTGTATTGCTCGCTAATGTGAGTATGGGGACTTAGTAGGCTGTCTAAGGCCAATTTCAAGAGGGCAAAGTCACTTTCTGTACCACTTTCAAACACAGGTAGTGTTGGGCGAGGGATGCCATAGGCTGCGGCCATCAAAAGCTCTGTTCCGGGTTGAGGCAAGTAGCCAGTTTGGGAAACAGGTGAATTTGCATAGGGCTGTGGGCAAATAGGCATGTTGGATGCAACTGTCACCCTCTGATGAGGAGCTGTTGGTGGTATAATATCACTGTCTGTGTGGGGCATAGCATTATGAGTAACTGTTGTATGCATAGGGTTAAAAGTGGGTCGTGGCACTGAAATTGGGTTTGGTGGATGCTGATTGGCCATTTGGGCAGTGTGAGCTGGAGCTTGTGTTAACTTAGTTGCCTGTAGCGCCCCTGGGGGAAAGTAGGGTGTTGAATGGGCCATATAAGGATCCTTTAATGTGCTCTGTGCCTCTGGAACAGTTTGTATGATCTGCATTCTGGGCGGTGCGGAGCATGAAGACTGCTGTAGGACAGAAGATGGAGCTGGGCTAGCACAAAGGGACTTTGGTGGCGGTGCTGTGGTGTCTGGGGATGCTTGAGGTTCAGCATCGATCACACTTAGGTCTTGGCTGAGTAAAGAATTTACAAGTTTAGCGACTTCTAAGTCAGCTTCGGCCTTTTTCAGCTTCCGTTGTCTTTCCAATTGATTAGCTAATGCTTCCTTTGCCTCCAGAGCCTCTTCCTGTACGCGCTGAGCCTCCTTAGCTTGTGTTCGCAGTCTGTGATATTCCATTTCGGCCAGCTTGTCCTCCTCCATCTGCTCAAGAAGGTTATCATACTGACGCTGCTTAATTTTTTCCTCCACGATGGCTGCCTGACTGCTTGTGAGTGCTAAAGTAGCTTGTGCACGAGAAGTAGTGGAAAAACTACTGGATTTAGAATGAAGGCTGGCTTTACTATGGGACGTTTTCCTTGACTGGCTTTTATGTTGGCTGTGACAGCGTGAAGCAGTGATTGAAGGAGGGCCCTCAGGAAGTGTATAGCCAACTTCATAATCTCCCAAATGTGATGGCAGTTTACCCTTTCTCTTCGGTCTGGCTGCGGGGTCTGATACAACTACAGTTGCACTGTCCATATTGTTTGCTTTGCCAGCTCCGGCTCGAAGGACCAACTTGTGACGGGGTACTATACCTCTGTCAACGGAGTAAATTTACAGTTCTACTGGCGGACAAATATGGACATTGATTCCGGTCAGAGAATCAGGCAACAAAGAAGTAATCCTCTTCAAACTTCTTTAATAACAATTATTAAGCAGTCATTGCCATCAAACTTTCCAAGTATGTTGTGGTCTGTAGAACAGATGAGGAATACAGTATAAATATAAGGTATCTTTACACATTCACTTCAATGAGAAATCACACCATATATACAATGATTAAACAGTGATAATAAAGGAACAAATATATACGTTATAACAAACAAACTAATTAGTTAAATGGCAGTAAAAGGCAATAGGCGGAATGACGGAGCATATATTGCACACTGTATTCTCTCGCGGCTAGCGCGAGCGATATTTTCCCGCGATCGCGGCGCGATCGTCGTCTTATATAACAAACAGTCTCTTATATGAAAGGAGTAAATGTTCACTCAGTGATTGTCACATTATTACTCACATTTGGTGCATGAACGCACAACATGTCGGAAGAAAAGGGCGCATTGTGATCTGGCCCGGCATCTGAGTATGGGAAGTTGCACCGCTAATAACAGTCCGTGTGAAACTCGCTAAATATTTTCGGTTCCTAGTGGGCTTTCTGACACAGTTGGCTGTAAAACTATACAAACACAAACACAGAGCAGGGGTGCTCTTGGCTCCGTCCCCTTGTGACGTTGGGCGGGAAGTCGAAACTAATTTTCATGTGAAGCAACACACTCCTAAAACAGCGAGCTGTGTACACGCCCCCAAAATAACACCTTTTCACACATTATAATAAAAAATCTGAACTGCGTTTTGAACTGAACCTAAACTAGCACACTCTAAAGAACCATAATATTAATATTAAATCTTAAAAAAGTAAACTATGTGCCCTTTAGTGTTTTTGCGTTCCCTCGCAAAGATGTTGCTACACAAACTTTTCCTGTTCACTACATACACTCCCATTTTTGCCGGGATTCTCCTGTATTTTACCATTCTATCCTGCTATCATCCTATCATTAAGTATTTTCCTATATTTTTAATCTTGAAAGCAAGTTGAAATAAATATATAAAAATGTCTGCATTCACTTTCTTTCTGTTAGCTGTGTGTTGATTATTGTCCTTCCTATGCAACCTCTGAATCAGTGACAGAGGTTATAACAGTGTTGTCACTTTAGGAATGCACAGATCTATAATGAAAGCATTCCTTTACTTTAGTAACTGTTTGTGCTCATTTAAGAGAAAAATAGTGGTGTTTAAAGTAAAATATGCAGGACGGACATGTTTACATATTATTCAGTGTATTTATCTGTTTAACACACCCAAATACCAAATTGTCCTGCACTTAAGTTCCTCTTTAAATGGTGTGTAGTGTCTACAGAAGTTGAGTGTCTACAGAGCATGCCCGTCAGTCAGCGTTTATACATGCATTCACTCATTCAGAGGTTGCATAGGAAGGATCAGCTTTGATGATTAGAAATTGAATGCAGACTTTTTATATTAATTTCAATGTGCTTTTTTAAGATTAAAAATATGGGAGAAATATGGGAAAATACTTAGTGAACAGGAAGTGTTTGTTGAACAACGAAAAACATCTTGGCGAGGGAAAGCAAAAACTAAAAAAATATTATTTTTTTCACCATCACGTCCGTTCAGGTCTCTGTAATTTTACGCATTTCAAACTTTCTTTCAGTTTAATTTTGATTACTAGACTTTATATTTAAAGAGCCCATATTATGGGTTTTTGAAAATTCCCCTCCATGTAGTGTGTAACACAGCTCTAAGTGAAGTGAAGTATCCAGCTAAGGCTTAAATCTGTAAGAGTACAGTGTTTAAAACGGTTGATTCATCTATAAAAGAGTCGACTCATAGTGCTTCAAACGAGTCGCCTTGATACCGAGTCATTAGGTGTTTCGCCATGACGTACGAACGAAATCAAGTTATTCACGTGCACGCGCAAACCCGGGAGATTTCAAACCTGAGGCCCCGTCCTCTGACGCAGAAACCCAGACACACACACACACACACAAACAAACACATGCACACAAACATGCCGGTCGATTGAAGTCACACTGCAGATGGATATTATATTGAGTCTCTACCCAAAGATGAAACATCAGCATTATAACCAAGCAATTGGAAACTACTGGAAACTTCTGGAAGCTACATGCTACAAAGAATACTTCATCTGAGTTTGTTAAAGGAAGGATCAGTAAAGAGTAACTTACTGATGGACATCAGGATGGGTTTCTTCCTACATTTCTCAAGTGTAAGTACGTGCGGTTAAAGTTGTTGCCCCGTTGACTCTAGCTTGCAAATGTATTTAGTTGTGTTTTGTTACTTGTAACCGAGTGTACTGTATCAGGTTAACTGGCTATATTCTCCTATCGCGTGCAAAGTCACGTTAAAAACGCGACGCGTGCTGCTTTGTTTATGGAGCTCCGTGGTAGAGTTCTGAATTCCCGCGGCTGTCCCCGCGCCAGATTTCTGCGGCGCGGGAATAAATTTCCGAATAAATCGCGGGAGCAGTCGGTAACGGGTTTAATTTGGGACGGGAGCCGGCTGTCTAGCAATATCACGGATATTGCTATGCGAATGAGAAAGAGAGAGTCTGCTTGGTGTTTGTGTGTGTGTGTGTGTGTGTGTGTTAGTGCGCGCGTGAGAGAGAGAGAGAGAGCGAGCGCGAGCTTTGTGTGCTTGGTGTTGTGTGTGTGTTTATACAGACATCTTGGCTGTCTGGACTGTATAGCTGGGTGATTTTGGTAGTGTTCTCCCCCGCTCTAGTGGGATCGGGCGCGGCAGGCAGAAAATGGAGCGGGTTCTCAGGTTAAAACCTGCCGGGTGCGGGCGGAAGCGGGAGCGTTGTCGTCCGGAGGTGTGTGTGTGTGTGTTTGTGTGTGTGTGGCAGCTAAAATCCACGCCTACACTATCGAGCGTGTATGAACTGTGATTACTTTTTATATTGCTGATTAGCTATTGGCCATTTCACTCTCTGACTGAAGGCAGTCGACCAATCGCGACAGACTGTCATCGGTCCAATCAGCGCAGATTAGCTTCGCGCTAAGGAGGGGTTTGGGAACAAATGAATCACTGGACGATTCATACGGGAGTCGCTGGGATAATTAGGTAAAAATAAATGCAGATTATAAGACCATGAAAGTGTTTTTTGACCTTGCATGCCTATTAGACTGTTGTTGGAGACCCTTACAACCAAGATATGACCCTATTTCATGTATAATATGGGCTCTTTAATAGAAAAAAAATATTTGAATTTTTAAAACTATAAAACGTAATAATAATGATAATTTAAACTTTGTATGATCGCAGTAATAAGACCTACAAAGGTTTATTTTATTTTTTCAGGAATTCCTATTTGTGTTTTACTGGGTTTATGATTTAATACAAATGTATTATCAAAATGGTAATCAAATTAACCGACACTGTGGAAATCAAGGCTTTAGAAGAACAATTTGTTAACGTTTAAAATGCCCAATCACAGTTTTGTGCACTTTTTACTTGGTAGAAGTGTGTTAATCTGAAATCAGTTAGTAATCTCCAGAGGTGGGACCAAGTCATTGTTTGGCAAGTCACAAGTAAGTCTCAATTCATTGCCCTCAAGTCCCGAGTCAAGTCCCGAGTCAAGACAGGCAAGTCCCGAGTCAAGTCCCAAGTCAAAGGCAACAAGTCTCAAGTCAAGTCCAAAGTCCTGCAGTTTGATTATCGAGTCTTTTCGAGTCTTTTTAACAGAAAAATTAACTGTAAACAGATTATGTATGGTTGTAAGATCTGTATTTATTAAACAAACCTTTTTTTATGAAAGAACATTGCTCAGATATATAAAAACACAAATGTAATTTTCTGAAAAAGTGCTAAACAGTGCTGCATCTTGTCTACACAGCACATTGCACAAGAACGAGTTCCACTACAATAGAGTCCATTTTGCCTCACATCACACAGAAATTGCAGGTCTACTGCTGTCTAGTTCCTTAAGTTTAGTTGTGCTATGTTATGTCTTCTGTGATCAACTTGTGATTAACTAAAACTACATAAACGACCTCAATGAGGCAGCAGTAGACCAACAACTCCTGTATGCTGCAAAGTAAAATTGAGTGAACTTGGTATTTTGTCAATTGAATCTCGTGTGTGCTGAAGAGATGAAGATGCAAATCTGTCTAGCAGCAATGTAAAATTGTGGCACATATTCTAAATGAAGTCGGCTACTTTATACAAACATTAACGTTGTTTTTTTCACATAACAATGAAGAACTTTGCTCTCTACCTTGTGTGACGCTCGTGCACCGATTTCCTCTGTGGACAAAACTGCTTGCGAGCTCTGAAATATACGCTGCTCACGCGCAAATTTTCTCGCTCTCAGATATGCACTGCTCACGCACACATTTTCCTGCGTACTCTCAGAGATTATATACAGATTTTGAGTCTTGTGTTTCCTCTTCCTTTCGTGCTTTTTGATATGATTTATATTGAGGGACTATTTATTAACAAAAACCAAAATACTAAAATAGACTTACATATTAAATTTTTAATCTAATAAACCATAAAATTTTGGCTGTATGTTTTATGATGAGATATTTCCAGTTACAAACACTTAAAGACACAGAGAATAGATGTTGGATGTAAAGAATGTATTTTGTTTTACAAACATTTATTAATCATCCGAAAGGTGTACAATACTAATCAAATAAAAAAACATTTAAACAAAAATATAACTAAAGCAAGCAGAAATTTAACTGTGATAAAAATAAGGAAAAACTTGATTAGGCATTATTGCCTACTGTACTATTCACTCTTTAAATAAATCTCACTATCAATCCCATTTTATCATGGCAACTAAAATAAAATGAACACGTCTCTGCTGTCTTCCACATTATTGATGAGATTGTGGAGGACATTTTCCATGTCATCCTCTTCATTTTGAGGAAAAGCTGTTCCACAGGGCCCCTGAACACATCTATTGGCATGGACAGTGTTTTGAACAGTACTATAGTAAAGTACTTTAATTAATTTGTTGGGGTCATATTATAGTTGCTTTGGTAACACAAGTGTAATATAAACAAATTACCCAGTGCTGTAGTTTTTTACAATATAGGGTATATTATACTACAATTCACCACACTTTACTGTAGAAAAACTACACTCTGTATTTTATTTTATCAGTTCACTATTCTTAATACTAAAGTATGCTGAAGCATTCATTAACAACTTGTAAATAATACTAGGCTTAAACATAGGCAGTATACCTAATTCTCAAAAACACTAGCATTTATTATAGAATTTACCTTAACCTCATAGTTTTTAATGTATTGTTACTAAATAGTGTAGCAATATATAAACCATATCAACATTCTGGAATAATCAATTTACCAGGAGGATCTCTGGAGAGCAAAAGCAGGAAAGGTTTGAGGCGCCAGTGTGGACAAAAGTCAAGCAAACGCAGTGAGACTGAATACGTGCACGAGAGACCAGCCAATCAGATTGAAGTACCTGCCCACTGGTGAAAGTAATGTCAGAGCAAATCAGATTTTTCTTTCTTTTCATAAAGAACGGTGTTCAAATCCCACTTAGGCACTTGTAAACTATCATTTTAGACCATTTTGTCAAAAATCCCTACTGAAAAAAAACAGCTTGAACCAGCCTAGGCTGGTTTTAGCTGGTCGATCAGGCTGGTTTTAGAGGGGTTTTGGTCATTTCCAGGCTGGTTTCCAGCCATTTTCAGCCTAGTCTTATCTGGGCAGGCTGGGAGATGACCAGCTAAAACCAGCTTGACCAGCCTAGCCAGGCTGGGAGCCCAGCCAAAACCAGCTATGTCCAGCTTAAACCAGGCTGGTCAAGCTGGTTTTAGCTGGATTTTGCTGGTCAATTCAATTCAATTCAGCCTTATTTGTATAGCGCTTTTACAATGTAGATTGTGTCAAAGCAGCTTAACAATTTGTTTAACAATTTATTAGAGCCACAAATTATCTAAAACTTGTTTTCATGTTTGAATAGGCAATAAATGTGCTAAATAAATTAAAATAGAAATACCCACAGTGAAACAGTTATATAAATTTAAATATTAGTTTAAATACATTCATAGTGGTTTTAAATATATTTTAATATGTAAAGTAGAGTTTAAATCACTACACTTCAACAAACTGAATAAAACAAGTCTTCGTTTTTAGTTTATTTAAAAACAATTACAAATGGAGTAATTCAACTCTCAATTAGATGATCTCATTGAGTGATGGAATAATAAAGGTAAAACTTTAATTGAATGATCAGTCAAGTGTTTTCCAATGAAATCTGTTAAAATAAGAGTCTTACAAAACAGGAACAAAGACACTCATGAAACGAAATGTGATTGTAAATTGTATTTTTTATTAGATGGTTGGTTTTAAGTACCTTAAAAATAGTAGATAATCCTTAAATATAGAGGGAGAAATACAGAAAAACAAACAAACAGAAATTCAACAATATAGATGCATTACATTACAATCTCACAATAAAAATTTTATTAAAAACCATATAGAGGAATAAAATATTGCTAAGAGGCATAACATCAACAATAATACAAATACTTTTAAGGTTTTAAATACTAAATAAAATTAATAGTATCAATCCAAAATATGAAAAAGGTAACACTTTACAATAAGGTTGTATTAATTAATTAAGTTTATCTATGTACTAATGTGAACAAACAATGCAGTGAAGTACAGTTACAAATCATTACAGTATTCATTAATTAATGGAAATAAAATTATTGGTTAACCTTTGTTAAATCACAGTGCATTAACATTAATGTTAACAAGCATACCTTTAAATTGTAATTATGCAATAGTAAATGTTAAACTATAATTAATAAAGGTTTAAAAGTATAGTTCATTATTAGTTCATGTTAGTACATAGATTAACTAAAGAAACCTTGTTGCAAAATGTTACCAAAAAATAACAAAACACTTTTTTCACAGTTTTAAGAGCTTTAAAAATAAATTATATATATATCTAGTTATTATGGCATGTAATTATTATTACTACTAATTAAATAGTTAGAAAATACTGTCAGAGGATGGGCAAAACACAAAAATAAAACATAATATGCGCATTGACACAAACGACCAAGTGCAAAAACATAAATTACAGCCATGTTCATTCATAATTATGTGAAATAAATGACGAGAGGGTAAGTTTGGTTAAAAAAACTGAAGTTCATTGACTTATGCACAACAGTAAAACAATGCTTTTGCACAACAGTAACACATTGCGAGTAGTTAAGTATCTTACCTTTGACAGATGTTGTAAATCCGCTGAATAAAACAAAAGGAGCAGATCACGGATGTGTTTATTTCACTCTCCGAGTCAGAATGAAAATGGCATCTTCAAATTTCCCGCTGGTGCAAAAACACGGAAGTGCGCCACAAAGCGCTAGTGGTCGAAAGTATGCGCGCATGCTTTCTGTCACACACACACACACAGAGATGCTCCGTGTCAACATACTTTTTATCTTTGGGCTTTTTATAGAAAGTAGCAAGTCTTTACAAGTCAATAGGCGCAAGTCCAAGTGAAAGTCCGAGTCATTTATGTTCAAGTCCAAGTCGAGTTGCAAGTCTTTTCATATTTTGTCAAGTCGAGTCTGAAGTCATCAAATTCATGACTCGAGTCTGACTCGAGTCCAAGTCACATGACTCGAGTCCACACCTCTGGTAATCTCTAATAATAAACTGCTAACTCTTTCCTTATTTGAGCAAAAAACATATTAAATAAAATGTACAGATAATAAGAGTGTACAAAAAGAAGTGTAATGAAGCAAAAGCTTTTCTCTCCCATCTAAATACAGAAAGTTACTGTAAAAATTGCTGCTACTTTAATTTCATTAATTAATTTTTCTTCGGCTTAGTCTCTTTGTTCATCAGGGGTCGCCACGGCGGAATGAACCGCCAACTTATCCAGCATATGTTTTACACATCGGATGCCCTTCCAGCCGCAACACAAGACTGGGAAACACCGATACACACTCATTCACACACATACACTACAGCCAATTTACTTATTCAATTCACCTGTAGCGAATGCCTTTGAACTGAGCCACTGAGCCACCGTGTAACCCTTTTACTTTAATTTGAATCAGTTAAAAGGGGCAGCAGCACGGTGGTGCAGTGTATAGCACAATTGCCTCACAGCAAGAAGGTTGCTGGTTTGTGCCCCGTCTGGGTCAGTTGGCATTTATGTATGGTGGGGGTGTTTATCAGTGTTGGGTTGCGGCTGGAAGGGCATCCGCTGTGTAAGACATGTGCTGGATAAGTTGGCGGTTCATTCTGCTGTGGCGACCCGATTAATAAAGGGACTGAGCCAAAAAGAAAATGAATAAATGAATGTACAATCAAATAAATTTGTTTAGTTTTACGTAATATTTTTAGTCAGTTTGACTGATGGATGTTAATATGACTAGAAAAGTTAATTTGATTCAACAAAAAAAAACCTTTAGGCAATTAGGCCACCCAGGTATATTAACAGCCGGCAAAGTATATTTAGTGACCCTTTTTATTATTATTTTGATCCTTTGACACTTTTTTGTATCCCCCCCTAACATAAACATCCGCGATTGGTTATGTACTGGAAAATATTCTCTCCTTTACCTGTTTCATACTGCTCGTTCCGCTGAACTTCCGAGAACTGTCAACACTCACGTGCTCTCCAGACCAGCACGTTTTGCATCCAGCCAAGGTTTTTTAATCTACTAAAACGTCCGGGATTTGGTTTTGCTTTCCTTTTCAAAGCTGTAGGTAATTTTATGCACATAGTCGCGAGAGAGACATTAAATTATTATTTTATTTAAACGACTCAGAAAAACTTTATTAAATACTTGGAGAGGACAAAATTACTTTTAAAATGGCTGCAGAATATTTGTTTACCATTAGAAATGGGTAATTCAAGTCTTATTTAAATAATTTACATGTTTTATTCTTGCAATTATTATATTTAGAGGTGTTGTCTGTTTTTATTACGGTTTCTGTCATTTATTTCTTATTTGCTGTATATTTAATTAATTTGATGATGTCAATATGTTACATATTTTATACATCTACAATGGTTTGGCAATACTGTAAAAAAATGTCATGCCAATAAAGAAACCTAAACTTGAATGAGAGATAGAGAGAAGCAGATTTGACCTGTCAGTGGGTGCACATGGCTCCTAAATGGCATAATAGTGGATTTTTTTTTCAAGTCTTTATTTTTTATTTTTTTTACTTTGATCCATTGAAATGCAAAAGTTTAAAATAGATAATAAGAAAAAAAACTAATTATGTTTGGTTTGTTGCATATAGTTAACTATTTATGTGCTGTGTGGGTAAAAGGTGTGTTTCAATCAGGCTACCACTGCAAGTATATTTTAAACCTGTGGAAAGCACCGCGTGTTCTGATAATCTAGATCTACTTACTGTCATAGGACTAACAGTTTTTATTCTTCCAGATGAAGGACGCCGACGAGGGACTCGAAAGCAGAGAAGAAGAGCCTAAAGCTGTGAGAAAGAGAAGAGTACGAAAGGACTGAAACCCCACCTCTTCCCTACGTTTCCTCCCGTCTCTTGTTCCTTTGCCTCTTTTTGCTGCATGCTTTCGGCTTTACGCCCTTTAGCATGCAAAAAACGGCAAACCTAGCCGCTCTCCTGAAGAGGTCATCCTTCATCCGGCTCAACCTCGCCTCCCCTCTTTCAGTCTTCCGCTTAGTTCTTATCGGTTACCGTCGGGATTTAGATCCAAAAGTCAGACCTGCTGAGTTTTTCTCCTTTCCTTTTTAGATTAGAATTCAAGGAGTAGCACTGGACCGGTGTTTCCCTACAAGAGTCCTGAAAACTGTGAAGGGAAGTTAACATTTTAGACAGATAAACTAGTTTATGATCACCTCAACGTTTCAGTTGGTTAAGTTATTAAAAAGGGTTCCGTTCCTTTTAAGCTATGAGCTTTTTAACATGATCAAATTGCTCTGATCGTATTTATTGTTTGAAAAATATGACACTTTAAGCATAGACTTTTTTTAATCTTGCATTTTGTTGTTATTTTAGCACAGTTAGAGCAGGCCGTGGAGAAGACGAACTAGGTCAGTGGAGTGCTAGGAACGCAGAACAGTATTGCTTTTTGGCATCAGAGTAAGTCATTACGCACAGTCAAGAGCTGACACACTCTCAAACCGTAAGCACACACACACAAAACACTCCCACTGACAGCAGACTGACCGCCACAGAGCTCTCTGGAAGCAGACAGGTTGTTTTTCCAGTGATGAACAGTTTTGTTTTTCTGCTTTTTGTTTCGTTTTATAGTTCATGTGTTCAGCCTTACGAGGAAAGCCTTTTGTTTACATGTTTGCAAACTGTTCATTGCTCTTGGAAATAAATATTTACTATAAAAGTCTGTGCGCTGCTGCCATGACTTCAACCAGAAGCCGTTTACTTGCAAATTATTTTATTAAAGGCATAATCGTAACAAAATAAAATGTACACTTTTAAAACAGGCAGTACTTTACATTGGGTGTTTGCAGACATAAATTATGCAAATGAAATTGTTCATTAAATTAAAACTCAAAAAGACGTAGTATGTAGTGTTGTGGCAGGTCTTTTAGCGTTGTGCTGATCATTTGTAGTGAAATTTTACATAAGAAAGGGGGAAAAAAAGCATCTGTACTCATAAATGTCGCTCAAAGAGCAGTCAGATCAATATCATTCAGCAGATTTCAGTCTCTGAAAGCAGTAAAAGCTACAATCCATTTCAAGTCGCTGAATGCAAAGGACACAACCACAAAGAGCCAACTCTCAGTGCTTCAGTTTACACTGGGCCATTTCAATCTATTGATCCTACAAGAAACATGGCAGGTTTGTGCACTAGTCAGGTCTTTTTTTGGATAAATTCAAGTGTTTGCCATTTTCATCAGGAGGACTTGTTATTATGTCTGTGTGGACAATTAAATAATACACACACCAAGGTTGCCAGGTCTTTATAACAAATCTCATGATAAAATGTTACTCAAAGTAGCCTATACTGGCATTCTGGGAGGGATGGTGGTGTCTATCTGCTAACGCAGTGGTCTCAGACTCAATTTCTGGAGGGCCACAGCTCTGCATAGTTTCCAACCACCATTAACTCACACATGCTTAATAGTCTCTAGAAGTTATGAACACCTTGATAAGTTGAATCAGCTGTTTTTAATTAGGGTGGGAGAAAAAAATGTCCAAAGCTGCGGCTCTCCAGGAATCCAGTTAGAGACTGATGTTCTAAAGCCATGTTTGTCAACCACATTCCTGGAGGACCAGCAACACTGCATGTTTTGGATGTCTCCTTTCTGTCACAACCATTACAGGTTTATCAGTCTCTGCTAATGAGCTGATGATCTGAATCAGGTGTGTTTGGTTAAGGAGACATGGAAAATGTGCAGAGCTGTTGGTCCCCCAGGAAGGTGGTTGAGAAACACTGTTCTAAAGAATGGGTCTCAAACTCAATTCCTGGAGGACCACAGCTCTGCACAGTTTTGCTCCAACCCTATTAAAGCACAGCTGATCCAAGTAATTAAGGTGATCAAAAGTCTTGAACACATTGATTAGTTGCATAAACTGTTTGATTACGTCTGGAGCAAAACTGTGCAAAGCTGTGGCCCTCCAGGAATTGAGTTTGAGATTATGCTCTAAAGTATTTAAATTGTATTTTTTTTATTCCTCTTGGTTGAACCCACAGACTAAAACATCATTTCTGAATCCTGGTCCGCATGACCCCTCACCTTGCATATCTTCAGGGGTCTTATTTATAAAATGTTGCATAGAAACTTTGGTAAAAGTGAAAAGACATTTATATATTAATGATTATGGCTCACATGATGATTTAAAGTGGTTCAATTAAGTCAATATATAGATTAAATATGTTTGCTTATAGTTTATTTAAAGTGGTGCACATTTATCAAGTTTTTATTTATTTTTAATAGACAGGGTGATACGATCTTGGAAAACCAGGAAAAGTCATTGAATTTTGACATGGCATTTTCCAGGCCTGGAAAAGTTTTGGATAAAAGAAAAACCCACACAGTTTTCTGAAAATCTTGGAAATTAGTTTAACAAATATCTGTATACTTGAATTAGGGCTGCGCAATATTGGAAAAATCAGACATTATGATATTTTTATTTCTATAATATACATTATGATGATTTAACACGTTTATTTGCATTGAATTTTTTTTTTTTTGGGGGGGGGGTTGTATGGGTGTAAATCTTAAATAATATATAACAAATAAATTACAAGCATAGATAAATAAAACAGTGAAACTAAAAGATAATTGTAATTTTCAGGTATTCACTAATCAGGTACATATATTGAATAATCAACACTGCATAGTCTTTACTGTATATTATTTAATCTCTATTAAAGTTACTAAAAGTTTCTTGTGGCAGATGTTTTAAAATTTGAAATATTGATGTTCACAGTCACAGGCCTTAAAGGGACAGTTTACTCAAAGATTAAAATGTACTCACTATTTACTCACACTTCACTTGTTTCAATAATATAGGAGTTTTTAAATTAAATTCTTTTTGCGTTCATTTAAAAAAGAAAACTCATAAATGTTTGAGACATGTGAAGGGTGTAATGAAAATGGTAAGTAATTTTTGGGTGAACTATCTCTTAAAAAATGCTTGCAGATGATAAATGTTTACTTTAAACTCTATATTAAACTATAATCCCAACATATCTTGCGATGGGACTATTGCGGATGCACACATTGCGATTTCAATGCTGAAACAATATATTGTGCAGCCCTAACTTGAATATAGGTTACTTGTCTACTTTTCTGTCCTTGGCCAAAAACTTGCTCTCACATTGTTAGTGCTGTGTGAGCATTATCAAAATATAAAAACTAATTTAAAATAGATTGTTGCGTTTTCTTTGATATGCTGTAATTAACTTGAACGTCATTGTTTTTCTTATTTACCATGTATATGTAGACATTACATGAAACATTACGTCATGAAAATGTACTTGAAAGTTCTGGGAAAAGTCTAGGAAAAGTCATGGAATTTTAGTAGTAAAAAGGTGTATGAATTCTGAATAGATCACAACTTTGCACAAAAGCCATGTTTATAGTACTAGTAGTTTAGCTTATTTACAGGATCAATGCACATTAATATACATTACTGTAAAATGTACCAGAATAAGCATAGAATGGCTATTTTCATCTGTAGAACCCTTACAGAATGTTTAAAAAGTCATAACTAAAATAAAAGTCACTCCTAAAGTCTATAGTAGTAGTAGTAGTAGTTTATTTATAAAGCAAATATATATATATATATATATATATATATATATATATATATATATATATATATATATATATATATATATTATAAATAAGACCCCAGACGTTTGTTCCATTTAAGTGAACATCACAGGATATTCTGCCATGATTCCAGTTTGAAAGCATGTTCAATACAAATGATAACTTACACAAGACATGACTTTTATGCAAATCTCATTATAGCTACATAACCCTTCACACTTCTGTAATACTTGACGATACTGCAAACAGTGTTGTAGTGCAAATCTTTTTCTTTTTTATAAAGTAAACAAGTTTAGCTAGGTGTGTTTAGGGGGTAGACAGCACTGAACACTATGCAGGGAACATGCTGATCTGAACAGTTCCTTCTTGGAGCTCTCTTCCAATGAGCTGGTTATTTAAATTATGTCTTAAACAATAGTGATATGCAAAAAGGCAAAGCAATGTTTGTGGGGACCAGTATTGAGAACTGCTGAATTAAAAAAAACGGCAAAGTAGAGCAACTCTAATGGAAAACTGAGGACTTGGCAACACTGGCACGCACAATGTGAATGTTAAAGGGATAGTCCACCCAAAACTGAAACATCTCTTATTATTTACTTATCCTTTCAAACATTTTAGACTTCCTTTGTTCTGTTGAACACAAAAGAAGATATCTTAAAGAAAGCAGCAAACCTATAACCGTTGTCTTCCACATTAGTTATTAGTTATTTTTTTCTGTTATGGATGTCAATGTTACCGGTTTTCAGTTTTTCTCAAAATACTTTTTGTGTTTAACAGAATAAAGAAACTCACAAAGGGTTGGTAGCACTTGAGGGGGAGTAATTAGTGAGTACATTTGATTATTTGGATGAACTACCGCTTTAAGACAGGAGTCCTAGCTGGTTCAGAGTGTATTATCCTTCTCCGGTTGAGTAATACTTGGAAAGCTGCTCAAGACGAAGTACAACCCAGTTTGTATGTGTGGCAGAACTCAACTGGCAGATATTTTTGCATCAACTAAGCGACTGTCATTGAGATAACTAGAACTTTGGTTGTAACAAATGAAACGACTACTTTTGTTGATCTATTTTTAGTTTTGAATTCATGCTGTTGGTTATGGATGATTATGGGATGTCATGCATTTTCAGGGAAAAGTTTGAGCAGTCTGTGCTTTACATGTTTCATAATGCATTTCCAATGTAAATATTAGTAGCTACAATCCAAGACATCTCTTCAAATCCAGACTTTGGCTTTCTAGTATTTAGGCTGTGAAGTCAAAGAGAGGGTCTGAGATTGGTTATGCACCTGCTAAATGAATTATGCAGAAGGTAATCTGTACTTATCTGATCACAAAACGCATCATGCATCCCTTTATATCTCCTAACACAGTTAGCTGACAGGGAGAGGCAGCAGCTCAGTCCATTCAAGTATTGCCCAAACCATGCTGAGAGATGCATCTGTATATTTTACAACAAAATAAATAAAAAACGAGCAGCGGCTTATGTGTAGTCTGAATGTAGAGAAGAGAAGATGTAGGTGAAACACGCATTCACTTATTTCCGTTTGCTTTTGGTGTCGGTGGTCTGAAACACACTTGAGGCGGACATGAGGTTCTCGATGTACTGCCCAAGAACCTGGTTCTCCGATTTAAGCTTAAGGTTCTCCTCTTTAACCGCATCCACACGTGCAGAGAGATCTAATGAAGACAGAGATACAGAATTAGAGATGGCATCAGCATTTTCTGGCAACTATTAGGAGTGCTAGAGTGGATTAGAGGAAAACATGAAGATGTATATTCAGTTAAAAAACAAAACAGCAACAAGAAGCCACTAGAGCAAGATAAAAAAAGAGTTTACACCTTCTAACGTGTGCTGAAGCTCCAACACTTGGTTTATGAGTCTTGTTTTCTCCTCTTGCTCAACTTGATTCTCCATATCTCCTAAAAAACATTTAAAAAAACATACCCACTATAATCTGAATGTGGTCTAAATGCTAATTATACTTGTAAAAAAAAAAAAAAAAAAAAAATATATATATATATATATATATATATATGTATATATATATATATATATATATATATATATATATATATATATATATATATATATAATGTGAGTGATATTTACCATCGATCTCACAGTTCATGGTGCTGTACTGCTCCTCTGATCTGAAGCGCAGGACTGTAGGTTCACCGTCAGCTGTAGGAAATAAAAGAATTGTAATATAAAACATACCCATAATGCATGTTTAAAGACATACAACCGTGTAATTTAACAGTTCTCGTTGGAGTAAAAAAGTAAACTTAATGTTGACCGTTTCCAAGACCATGCAAGATGAGCAGTTAGCAAAGTTAGCCATTGGCTAACACAACAAACCATCGCCTGACAAATATATCCCTCTCAGTAAGCTAAGACCGTTGTAATTTACATGTTTAGAAATAATTATATGTATTATATAACTAATAATATGCACGACATTACAGTAACATATACGTAGAGAATGGTTTTAGGAAGTTTTAACTTATGCTACGTCCATTCGTTCTCATGCATTACAGGCCGCTGCAGCCTGTGCTAAAAGACTTGTAAGGTAAATTACACAGCTAACTAAATTCTATTTAAACAATCAGCAACGAATAAACTTGCTAAAAAGCTCGCAAGGAACTTAATACGTCGAGACGAAATAGACTTGAAAGCAAGCGCTTAAGTAACGATAAACAAACAACAGCACACTGAAAGTAGCTCATCATACCTGATTGTACAAAACTGAAGCTCTCAGCGTTATTAAAGATGACAAAAAAGATCAAGTCTTCAAAGAAGATGCCAAGGTAATGAATGATACTTGACTGTCCGTTACCTCATCACTTCTTCCTTTATTTTGAAATAAACTCTTACTTCAGATAAGCGCCGACAGAGGGAGACAAAGCTCTCTGTAAATTTGAGGATGTAGTCAGAATTCTTAGAGCAAACTACTTGCCTTTTCTTGTATAAAGAACAGTACTTGAAAGAGTGGGCATCATCAAATTTATTATCAGCAATACTACTACTAATAATAATAATAATAATTAGAAATATATTTTGGGAAAATCAATTCTCCAAACTATAATTCCATCATCATATTTGTGTTGCTGTAAATGCTTTTTAATAATTTCGGTAAAATTGGCTTTTTATTCGGTCTGAAATCCCATGTAAGTATGACTTCAAAACAAATTTAGCACTACGTGACTGTGAACAATGTTGTACTTCGATAGTCATAGGCTGCATTGCTGCAAATATGATTTCCAGTTATTCATTCATTTATTCATATTCTTAAGAGCTTAGTCTCTTTATTCATCAGGGGTGGCCACTGCGGAATAAACTGCCAACTTATCCAGTATATGTTTTACGCAGCGGAAGCCTTTCCAGCTGCAACCCATCACTGGGAAACACCTATACACACTCATTCACACACATACACTACGAACAATTTAGCCTACCCAATTCACCTATAGTGCATGTCAATAATGAGAGAGATATTTTTTGAGAAATTGTTTTAACTTTTTTTGAAAGTCAAGTTTACATACAATAATATTATTATGCCTCTGAAAAAGTTCAGGTGATGGTGTCACTGTTTTAGAAGTTTCTGATTGGCTAATTGACAACATCTGAGTTAACTGGAGGCACAACTTTAGAATAGTATTTAAGGAAAACCTCATACACACTGCTTCTTTTTGTGACAACAGGGGAAAATCAACAAGCCAGAATCAACAAAAAAGCCAGATTTCAATTTGCTAAATTACACTGGGAAAAAGAACAATTTTTGGAGACATGTCCTGTGGTCTGATGGAACTATGATTGAACTGTTTAGCCATAATGATCAGTGTTACATTTGGAGAACAAAGGGGAAAGCTTACAAGCCTACGAACACCATCCCAACTGTGAAGTATGGGGGCGGCAGCATCATGTTGTGGATCTGTTTTGCTGCAGGAGAACTGGTCCACTTCACAGCATAGATGACATCATGAAGAAAGAACATTATGTAGTAATACCGAAGCAACATCTCAAGACATCAGCCAGGAAATTAAATCTTGGCCACAAATTGGTCTTCCAAACAGACCACAACTCTAAGCATTCTGCCAAATTAGTTAAAATGTGCTTTAAGGACAACAGCGTGAGTGTCCATCACAAAGCCCTGATCTCAATCCTATAGAAAATTTGTGGGCAGAGTTGAAAAAGCTTGTGCGAGCAAGACAGCCAACAAATCTGACTCAGTTACACCCATTCTGTCAGAGGAATGGGCCAAAATTCCTTCAAACTGTTGTGAGAAGCTTGTGGAAGGATACTCAAAACATTTGACCAAAGTTATACAGTTTAAAAGCAAAGCTAAAAATACCAAGGAAATGTATGTAAATTTTCGACTCTAGAAATTAATAAAAAACAAAAAATTATCAAAAAAAAAATTCTCTCATTATTCCGGCATTTAACAAATGTAAATGATTTAGCTAATCCTAACAGACCTAAAATAGTAAACGTTTAGTATGATTTAACATTGGACATTATTTAAAAAAAATGGTTATGCTTCTTTTTTTTTTAGAGTGTATGTAAACTTCTGGTTTGAACTGTATATGCATAAAAGTTGATTGATTGAATATAATCTGACTGCCTACCATGCTGTATTGTCAAAATGCGATATATTTTTTATGAATCGCCTGCTTTGTCGGTCAATAACAGTAACATGTTCAAATGTACCCTTTTTTAAGCAATATCAGGCCTTAGTCTGCACTCACCAATATCTCTTTTTGTGTTGTACAGATGAAATAAAGTCGTACAGGCGTGGGAATGACACGAGGGTGAGTAAATGACAGAATGTTCATTTTTGGGTGAACTATCTCTTTAAAACCGAGTAGACGTGAGTCATCTGAAATATGCAGCCTTTGTTCTGCTTCTGCTGCTCTGACAGTGGCTGCATTCACACACGCTCGCTGAACTCGTCTCTGCACACAGGCTTATACTGTACACACTTACTGCCTCTTATGGCAAGTGAGCTTTCTGACATGTGTTGACACAACGCCTCTCCATTCATTCCTGTATTTGGACAAGAAAACCACATGCTGCACAGCGCTACAACATTTAGGCGCTTGAGTTATTGTGCTGACTTCAACTGCCATGGGAATATACTGTACTCCTTACACCGCTTTTTAAAAACAAGTGGTTATACGTTCAGGTCTGCTTTATATGTCTTTAACCACTCTGTTTGCCTACTTATGTCAGAAATATTAAATTCTGTGTTATTCTGATGATTTTTTTTGCTTTTAGCATCTAAATGTTAGCCTTAGCATTTAGCCTTAATGTTAGCATTTAGAAAATATTCATTCCAGCTTACTGTTTCTCACTCCCACCAATATGAATCAACTGTTTTGATGACATCAATCTGCACCTTAGCTTCTCTTAAGATCTTCTGTCTAATCAAATGCTCTCCAGAATCTGAAATGTCTTGTCCCTACATGCTAAAGATAAAATCTGTCACTTGTACACATAATGACTACTTGCTGTAAGTGGAATCATGCACTATGAAGGGGACAAATTATTAAGATTATAGTTTATATGGGGCAACGCAGGGGCGCAGTAGGTAGTGCTGTCGCCTCACAGCAAGAAGGTCTCTGGTTCAAGCCTTGGTTGGATAAGTTGCCGTTTCTGTGTGGAGTTGGCATGTTCTCCCTGCGTTCGGGTGGGTTTCCTCCGGGTGGTTCGGTTTCCCCCACAGTCCAAAAACAAACGTTACAGGTTAATTTGGTTGGCTAAATTTTCCGAAGTGTGTGAGTGTGAGTGAGTGTGTGTCGACGTTTCCCGGAGATGGGTTGCGTGCTGGAAAGGCATCCGCTGCGTAAAAACGTGCTGGATAAGTTAGCGGTTCATTCCGCTGATTACTAAAAGGACTAAGGCGAAAAGAAAATGAATGAATGAATAGTTTATATGTTTTCCACTGCTGTGAATTAAGTCGGTTTCTCATTTCACGACCTTTAAAAACAAGATATTAAATCAATATTCACTGATATATTCTCGAACCAGCGACAGCACTACCTATGGCGCCACTGTGTCGCCCATATTTAATTACATAAAATTTTATTTGTTTGACTTTCACTCTACAAAATATGATAGAAAACAGTGTTATGTATAGTTTATAAGTATAATTTATACATCTAAATATTTATTAGGGGCCCCCAGATGTCCTGTGGCCACAAGCGGCCACCTACCTTGCTTATTGGTTTAATCTGCCCCTGTATTTCAAGTATAATAAGGTAAAGTCGGGTGCCACTTGACTAGTTTATTCAGCATCGAACTTTATTGTGTTATAAATGGAATTGTTTATGTTTTTACTGTAATAATTTTATTACTAAATGTTAAAAATTATACTGCATTAGATATTAAATATGATTTAAAGCAAAGTTTTCTCTATTTTGTAACACTACAGAATAAATGAGGAAATTCCCCTTGGCAAATTTAATGTAATAATGTTTGGTATATATACGGCCCACAGACCTCAAAGAAGTTTGGTTTTTGGCCTTTTACAGGAAAAAGTTTGGGCACCCCTGCTTTATATGAACTGAGTTCTCTGTCAAACTATCAGCTGTCCACAGCCCAGTTTTTCATTGGAGAGCATAAGAATTAAGAATTAAATTAATTAAAATGGTCAATAATTCTAGACTTTTACCCAGTTGTGTAAAAACAGTGTACACATTAAGTGCAAAACAAACCTTATGTACACAATGTGTGCAACTTATTATTTTAACTGTTCGTTCAAAGTAGCCAACTTAAAAACCTGTGTGGTTGCAGTAACTACATCACTTACTCGGTTCCTAAAACTGTCATAAAACTGATTTCCGATCAGCTTTTAAACAAATTAACTTAATCACGAGTCTTACCTGAATCATCAGCCAGTGAGATGTTAGTAAAAGTCCCATCATCTTCATCCACGTCGCCCTCCATGACCGACGTGTGCTCAGATATGTGTGTGTACGTGCAGTTAGCAACAACAACCCAACATGATAAAACAGTGAAGAAATATCTGTTAAAAAATCGGTCTTTCCTCTCATGAAGCGGTGTGTGTGTGTGTGTGTTTGCCCGGCCGTACCCTCTCAATTATTCACCATCACCACGGTTACCAGCCGGACCTGTATGGCAACTCAGGTGACAATGGTGGTGCAGAGCAGAGGGCGACGCCTGCTGAGAGATCCAAAGTTCACTGCTTTACTTTCTCAAATTACAGAGAAAGACCCCCGCTTTCACACTCCTTCAAACTCGCGGTTGGTCTCATTTAATTCGGCCTTTAGCGACACATTATCTAAAGGAAGCATCCGATGTCCTCTTAAGAACAAAACTTTAGTACGTTTTACATGGCAATATGGCAAGCCGTTTTTACATTTAATTAATAAATCACACAGGTGGGTTCTATGTTACTAGCATCATAATGGATTTTTGTGTGCTTTTGCTTCCTTTTCATTATGTGAACATAAAACGAAAAGAATTTGCATCTAAAATTGTATACTTCCATACTAGTATATTAAAAACAGTATGCGAGCTGAGTAGGCCATGTCCAAATTTTTAGTATTCGAAAAAAAAAAACTGGTAATGACCTACCTGGATACCCAGTACCTGGATGACCTATGGCTTCCGGCGAGATTCTGAAATGCATACAATGGATGCTACACTATCCCATGGGAGTGAACTGACGCAACTCATGGGGTTGGTCATGTGAGAATGACAAATGGTGGATGTAGTAAGTCTGTGTTCGATTCATATTACTCACATTAATGCTATATTGAGCGCATTTTTCTAACAATCTTATAGTCAATTCAAGCTTTAGTAGTAGGCAATTACTAATAGTGAGCAAGACACCACCTGTGTGTCCAACAAGTGGTTTGTTCAGCTCACTCACACGTGTGAAGCAAACTTAAGCGGGTCGCACACCAGAAGCGCCGCTCGGCACCGCGACACAGCGCGCACATGACAGTTTAAAGTACAGCACACCAGACGCGCACATTCGAATGATATTTAACATGAAACTAATCAGATGGCGCTCTGTGGCGCGGCTGAAAAATGAACTGCGTCCTGAGCCATGGCCGGGCGCCGCCGACAGCCAGCGACTTGCGGCGCCGGTGTGTGTATCCTGATAGAATCCTATGTTTAGAATTCTAAAATGCATGGCGCTGGCCGCCGAGCGGCGCTTTTGGTGTGCAACCTGCTTTAGATTTGCATTGTTTTGAAGTTTATTACATACAAGTATACAGGGCTTATAGTGAAGTGCTGTGCAGGTAAACCTCACTCCTCTGACCTCTTGAAGGTGCTCTAGCGACAGACGCTAGACGCCATGGCCATGTTAGAGCAACTGACTCCCATGCAGAAGGTCGTCGGTTCAGTCCCAGCTTGTAGTCGGTTGGGTGGTGCAGGATTCCAATGGGGTAACACACGCGCTGCAGGGGCCCCGGAGTTATGTTGTTTGCCCACCCCAACAAGATCCAACCCCTGGTCTTAACCTACATGGTAATTCGAACATAGGCTCATTCTGGAAATCTCTGAGAGATCGCAAATTATGTGGCCAGTCAGTCAGTAAGACAGTTAGTCGACAGCAGCCTCTGGTGGATTTAGAAGAGAACAGCAGGCATGAATGGCACGAGCGAGAGAAATATAAAGAGCCCCTATTATACATGAAATAGGGTCATATTTTGGTTTTAAGGGTCTCCAACAAAAGTCTAATATGCATGCAAGGTCAAAAACACTTTTATGGTCTTATAATCTGCATTTATTTTTACCTAATTATCCCAGCGACTCCCATATGAATCGTTCAGTGATTCATTTGTTCCCAAACCCCTCCTTAGCGCAAAGCTAATCTGCGCTGATTGAACTGATGACAGCCTGCTGCGAGTGGTCGACACTGACTGCCTTCAGCGCGAGACAGAGTGAAATGCCCTGCAGCTAATCAACAATATAAAAGCGGTCACAGTGCATACATGCTTCATAGTGTAAGGCGTGGAGTTTAGCTGCCAGGGGATGAATGTAAATAGAGACAATGGACTTGAAAATACAGACGACTAACTATTTTATTTAGCAAAAACTCCAAGAACTGGCAAGGAGATCTCCTAGCTTGTCACACTCCACCTGCTCTTTTCACACACACACAGACACATTACCCTCCTTGGAGGAGGTCCGTAAGCAAAGCGGCACGCGGCAAGTTTTCAACGTGGCTTTACACGCGATATGAGAATATAAAGAGTTAACCTGATACAGTACGCGCAGTTACAAGTGGCAAATCACATCTAAATACATTTGCAAGCTAGAGTAAGTGAGGCAACAACTTTAATCACGCGTACTTACACTTGTGAAATGGAGGAAGAAACCGATCCATGTTCTGATATAGTTCATCAGCACTCTTTACGGATCCTTCCTTTAACAAACTGCAGATGAAGTCTTCTTTGTAAGCATGTAGTGCTTACAAAAAACTGCTCAAGGCTGTGTGTATGTGTGTTTGTGGCTTGTTTTCTGTGTTAGAGGGTGGGCCCGCAGGTTTAAAATCTCCCGGGTATGTACGCGCAATAACTTGTGTTTCGTAGATACGTCATCGCGAAACACCTAATGACTATAAAAAAGCGATCTTTTTATCTGTTTTCTAAAAAAACACTATCTGTTTAGTAAATATGAGTAACTAGCATAAAATGATTAAGTAGTACTTAACGAATAATAATTAGTATATATATATATATAATGCAGTATCTAACCAGTAAGTAAGTGCTACTAAACTAGCATAAAGTACTAAGTAGCATAAAATGTAGTACAATGAAAATGAATAGTGTGGTTTATAGATTAAGTGTTGAAATGGCTTGCCATACACTGACTTAATTGGTTTGCACTTTGATCATCTTGTAAGAAGCTCTTGTAGTAAGAGTATTACTGCAAGCTTCTAAAAAAGATTGGCCGTGATGCATTGACTGGTGCTGTAGGTGCTTTCATTCTCGTTTCATTGCAGGGGTAAGAAAATGTTGACAGACTGGTTTCAGATTCTGATACAGTCAGACATCTGCAACAAATACTGCATTTCTAAAATGCAATACTATGACAAAACATTTTTTTCCAAACAGCAAAACCTGGTGTAATGAGATGAGCACAGGTTTTAGTGAGAGGGTTTAAATGGTGTTAAAAGAAAGCATAAATACAAAGCAAATACATGCACATGCAGTGCACGAGTCATTTGGCAAATAATAAATAAGATAAAACACTTAAAAACTAAACTGACATTCATAGGGAAAATTAAAATGTTTAAAGTGTGTTCATTGTACTTTTGATGACATAAAAGTCTCCAACTGATGTATTTTCTCCTTTATTTCAGCTATCTGTTCAGAAAACATATCTTATTGTCATTTGGTTTAACTAAAATTAAAAGGTATTTGAAAAAACACTTTAATTTGAAGGTTAATTTATACAGATTTTAGAAATATGCAAAAAAATTCTAAAATTACAGGAGAGAATTGACTATTTTATGAATTTATATGAATTTGATGAAATACATTTTATTTCCTTTTTAAATTATCCAAAGTAATAATACAAACTACAATAGCTGTTCAAGTGTTACATATATATTATAAATATATAAATTATAAATTACTATTATAATTATAATTATTAATATATATAAATTACATATATATTACAAATTTTCACAGTATAATAATAATTGATTGGTTTGTGCAAATCTGCACATTTTTCAGCAATCCTAAAATCCCCTGATATGTGTGTGAAAGGCCTCCTAGTGGTTAAAGCCTGACATAAATTAAATGAGGGACTGAAAGTGTGTCAACAACAGTGTCATGTCTGTGTTCATAATACAGATATATATACTGGGTCATGTCAGTTTCTGTATAGAGTTTGCGTGTTCCCCCCAGGTTTTCCTCCGGGTGCTCCAGTTTCCCCCACAAGTCCAAAGACATGTGGTACAGGTGAATTGAATAGGCAAAATTGTCCGTAGTGTATGTGTGTATTGTACAAATTTTCTGTGATGGATATTTCCCAGTGATGGGTTGCGCCTGGAATGGTCATCTGCTGCGTAAAACATATGCTGGATAAGTTGGTGGTTCATTCCGTTGTAGCGACCCCAGATTAAACTAAGCCGAAAAGACAATGACTGAATAAATGTACTTAATATATATATGTATATATATATTTGTGTGTGTGTGTGTGTGTATGTGTGTGTATTCTCTAGCATTATCTAAGTATGAATAATCTTCTAAAGCATTTAGTTACAATATTTAAACATTAACTTATGCATTATTAAAATCTAGTGCTTGTTAACATTAGTTAATACACTGTGCATTAACAAACCCATTATTTAGCTTCAATAACATAAACTAACGTTAACAAAGATGAATAAATAATAAATGTATTACAGTTTGTTCATGCTAGTAAATACATTAACTAACATTGACAAATGGACCATTATTTTAAAGCGCTACCATTAAATGAATTAAATACTACTATTTTACAATATTAATACTTATTGCACAATTATTCTTATTCACCATTTTTAATAATATTTATAAATAAGAACAAATTGTATTTTAGCTTAAATGCAATTTATAGTGACATCATATAGCTACATAGTAGTCAGTAAGAAATCTTCTTAAGATGCAGCTGAAAAACTGCATGTAATTGCTGAAACTGGTGTTATTAATCATAGCAACACCAATTAATATCCTTCTCATAGACTGACCTTTATGAGTGTCTGGTTCAGTTAGATTGTTCCTGTGATTGTATTCAAGAGAATTGAACAATATACTATTCATGCAAATATGCCATGCCTATCCATGCTTATAATGGTGCTATTTCATATAATAATCTTTTTTTTATTGGCCAGATCTATGAAGCAGTGCAGTTTTAGGGGATGGGATTTCGGACGGGACAAACACACACACTTCAGGATAGTGATTACATGGCAGAATAACACAGTTACCGCAAGATTAACAAGCTTAATCAAAACAGCCGTGTACAGTCTACCCTCGCATAAAGATAAAATATAAGTTGTCAAAACTAAATGTAAGATCAGGTTTATGCATTCATACTTA